GACCAGACATGCTGATAATAATAATAACAACAGAAGTGTGATAGATATGGATCTTACTCCACACATTTAACACGTCCCCAAATAAAATATATTCCTTTATTTCATTAAAAACAAGAGTTTAGTCCAGGGGTGAGAGAAATGGCTCAACACATAGAGTGCCTACGTAGCAAGTAAAATGCTCTGAGATCAAACCACAGTACCAGAAAGAAAAAAAAAAGATTCCATGGAGCTTCTGTGCCCTCCTGGATACACATTAATCCAGTAAGTTTATTGCTATGTTGCTGCTGTGATAGTATTAGAAGATTGGCTTTTCTATTTATTTATTTATTTAGTGTGTGTGTGTGTGTGTGTGTGTGTGTGTGTGTGTGTGTGTGTGTTCTGGAACTGGGGCTTGAACTCAGGACTTGGATGCTGTCTGCCAGCTCTTTCACTCAAAGCTGGTGCTCTACCACCTGAACCATAGCTCCATTTCCAGTTTATTAGTAATTAATTGGAGATAAGAGTCTCACAGACTTTTCTGCCCAGGCTGGCTTTGAACCATAATCCTCTGATCTCAGCCTCCTGAGTAGCTAGGATTACAGGATTGAGCCAGTATTTTAGAGTAAATGAAAGACATCATCATACCTCATCACTGAACATCTTGGCATTCACGAAAATAATAAAAAAAAAACATTGCTGGGCACTGGGGTGCTCACACCTGTAATCCTAGCTACTCAGGAGGTTGAAAGGATCGCAGTTTGAAATCAGCCTAAGCAGGAAAGTCTGTGGAACTTCAAATAACCAGTAACAACAACAACAACAAAGCTGGAGGGCTGGGAAGGTGACTCAGTAGTAGAGTGCTTGCCTTGCATGCATGAGGCCCTGGGTTCGATTCCTCAGCACCACATAAGCAGAAAAAGGCCAGAAGTGCTGCTGTGGCTCAAGTGGTAGAGTGCTAGCCTTGAGCTGAAGAGCTGAGGGACAGTGCCCAGGCCCAGAGTTGAGCCCCCATGACAGACAAAAAAAAAGCTGGAAGTGGAGGAGTGGTTCAAGGGGTAGGGCATCAGTCTTAAGCAATAAAACCAAGTAAGAATACATGGCCTTGCGTTCACACACACACACGCACACACACATGGAATAGAACATTATTTATACAATCTCAAATCTATTAGTTCTCTTGATAAAACAAATGGTAATTGTCTATTCTCCAATAAACAATTAGCCTAATGTTTTGAGGGAAAAATACCAAGACTCAGAGTGGATGGTTTTTTCGTGTCACTCAGCTAGTAGGCACAGAGCCCAGATATAGACCTGAGTGTGATCCCCAGGCCTCCTCTCTTGCCGGCCTGTCCAGTGGGGTCTCCAGTCTTATCCACAGTCCCGGCACTGGCAGGGGTGGAGGTGCATGCAACCACATTGTGAACCGGTTAGGAAGCAGACCCTAGAGAAATGGAGAGATGGAAGGTGTTGCCCAAAGTGGCCCAGGAAGGGCTGACTGCGCTAGAGCTTCTATTATTGGAAGGCAAGAAGAAGGGGACCAGTACCAACTAGAGCTGGCACCCGAAGCCAGCCTCCTTCCCCACATCCCCAAGAGGAATGCCAGCCCCTCCATTGCAGTCTTCCTCCCTTTCCTTCCTTCCTTGGTCAGGTTCACTCCCTTTTCCAGCCCCCGCCATCTAGGGCCTTCTTTACTTCCTCTCTGGTCTCCAAGGGGCAGTTTACAAAGCGACAAGCAGTGACCCCTGCCGGTCCTGTGTCCCTTTTGCCCTCCTCCCTCCTTTTGGCCTTGAGTCCAGTCAGGGATGTGCTGACATGGGAGCTTTTGACCCATGTCTTCTCCAGCCCTCAGCTTCTCTGTGGGCGCCCCCAGGCCTGTGGTCGGCCTACAAAAGACGCACATGGAAAAACCATTTGCTTCCTGGAGCATCTGCTTCCTCTGTTCCAGGCCAGCTGTCCCCGTCCTCTGTCCACACTCTGCTTCTCTAAAGTCTTGGGATTGCAGAATCAGGATTCTGACTGGTTACAAGACTCTAGAACTGACCTCAAAGCTCTGGCACAAAAGAGCAGGCCTGTGGATTGCCTCAGAGAGGAAAAGAGGTGAACGTAAGACAAGAAGAGGCCAAGGGACAAGAGTCACTTGGCAGTGACACAGGACCTGAAGAGAGAGGCAGTAATAGGAAACATGGGTGCCTGTGCCAATCCCATGGCTACCTCATCAGTTGAGGAAGTGTATGAAGTACTGCCTCTTCCTAAGGTGAGAAGATCTGCCCAGCATTCTTTATGGGCCCGAGGGAAGGCCTAAAGAAGCAGTAGAGAAATGTTGCCCTGAGCCAGGCACTGATGGATCACACTTGTAATCCTAGCTACTCAGAAGGCTGAGATCTGCTGATTGCACTTCAAAGCCAGCCTGGACAGGAAAGTGTGTGAGACTCTTGTCTGCAATTAACCACCAAAAAGCCAGAAGTGGAGCTGTGGCTCAAGTGGTAGTGCACTAACCTTGAGAAAAAATGCTTATGGAGAATGCCCAGGCCCTTCATACCAGGACAGTACAAAATGAAAGACAGAAAGAAAGGAAAAGAAGGAAAAGAAAGAGAAAGAAGAACTGAAGGAAGGAAAAGAAGAAAGGAAGAGAAAGGAAAAGAAGAAAGAGGAAAAAGGAAGAAGAAAGAAGGAAGAAATGATGTACTGCTACCCAAAGAATATTAACTAGATGGATAAACAAAACTCAAATACCACATGTAACTGGAAAACAATCTTGGGTACTCTTGTCTGAAAGGAAGGAGTTCCACATCCCCTTGATTAGATGCAGTGACCCACAGTGTCAGAGGGGCTGGAGCCAAACTAGAGAATTTCCAGAACTTGAGAGCAGTATGGTGTGTGGGAATTCCCATCTTCATGAGAATAATGGAGAAGATTTGAACCTTTTGGGAAAATGTGCACAGCAGAACCTTCTCAAGTTGTTGTTGGAAATACCCAGTATACCTGCCACTTCTTGCCTTTGGAATTGGTCTAAAACAATAGCTTTCCTGGGTCTCAAGCCTACACACATCCAATCTTGTCAGCCTCCATAATCACATGAACCGATCCCTCATAATAACTCTCTACCAATTCTTTATAAAGCTCTATCAACCCCTTAAAATAAATCTCTAGGGGTTTGAGGGATGAAGATCAATGATAGAGTACTTGCCTAGCATGCATGAGGCCCTGGGTCCAATTCCCAGCACCCTCCACCCCCTGACCAAAAAATGTAAAGGATAATTTAAAACTTGAAATACCTAGCTACACACACACACACACACACATACACACACACACACACACACACACACACACACACACACACACACACAAACACACACACACACACATACACACACCCTATTAGCACTTTTTCTCCAGAGAAGATATGAGTATTTCCTCCCTCCCTGACTCTTGCTTCACTCTAAAAAGAAATGATAGACTAAGGAGCCTTTTCCATTGCCCTCCTGTGATTCTGATGCCTCTAGATCAGTGGGACTGAGTCTATAAGCAGCACAGACTTAACTTCTGGGCCAGCAATCCTTGCTGCAAAGTAAAAGCATCCTTTAAACGTCTCCCAATTCATATTGCCTTAGTTTTGCTCTCTATCTTGTTCTCTACAGAGATGACTGTTGAACACCCTGATGGTAGGGTCTGATTCCTCACTCTTGGTCCCTAAAGGGATATCTAATGAGTTCTGAAGACATTCCTAGTTTGAAAACAGCAGGACTGAAAAGAGTAGTCCATATGAACTTGTAGTTAGGATCAGTCAAATCCGTCTTTATTGAGACATGAAAGCCTAATTCTCAGAGACCAGTCACCATTTGGGGTAATAGGGGAAGTGGGCCTTAGCCATGGCTGGATGAAAGACAACGGGGTCTGTCCATGGGGCCACTATACTAGGGCAAGTTAGAGGCCAGCATGTCACAGAGAATAGCTCTAAACCCAGGAGGAGCCTGCCTGACACTCAACTCTGACAGCTCTAATCCTGTATGAACCTGAATGAACTTGACACCAGACATCAGATCCCTCTTCTCACTCGGGTCCAGGATTCTCACCCTCCCCTCAACCTTGCCACCAGAGGATGGAAAACTCTGACCCTATCTCAGGCTGTCATTCAAAGATAGCTAAAGTAGGAAGACATTGTAGGAGATAGACAGATAGCACGAAGAGTCAGAGAGTTCTGAACAACAGAAAGGCTGGGTTCCATTTAGACTTTATTGGCCAGTTTATTGGTCAAATCCAGCCAGGAAGACAAATAGTATACCTACTATAAGCAGGGCATATTTCACCTCTGTATGTGTATGTGCATGCACATATGAATTAAACCAAACATACATTATGTGTAAATTACACCAAACAGTGCACAAAACAAGGTTGTAAAATTGTTGTTCTCTGCCATCAATAAGTAGAGTATTAGCAAACACCCACATAATACTAATATAAATTTTTCACTTAATATTGACAATATTCTATAACAGTGCCATTAAGCCATGTATCCATGAAGAAATGAGAGTTCTGAGAGGTGTGCAAACATCCTGAAGTTTCATGGTTCTTCAGCTGTGTTTGTCTCCCTAGCTCCTACCACCACTCCACCAGGGTGCCACAAAACACAATGTAACCAAGAAAAATAGGAGAGTGCTTACTGGGTATTGAACCTCAGGCCCCTTTGCTCAGGGACCCTGTGTTGTAGTTGGTTGGACTTGAGGTTGGAGGACTTCTTCATATCCAATGACTGATTTCACAATATCATTCAAATGTCAATATAGGAAGCTGGCGATCTTCTCCCCTGGGTCTTCCTCCTTCCCAACTCTGCATAGAGTGAATCATCTGGTGAATAATTCAGAAGTAATCAGGACAGTGAGGGTAACAGGAGAGTGGTGGAGGTATCGGAAGGGCTGAGGTTGGCAACCTGAGCAGACCCTCATCCTCCCAGGGCCACTGTGCTCTGGAGAGAGGGGAGGCTAGGAGCCTTAGGTGGTAACCATCAGAGAGATGGGATCATGGTGGATCCGTGGGCCCAGCACAGACCATTCAGCCTCCAGCTGCTGATATACCTCTGCCTTCTGCATCAAGGGGCCTCAGGTAAGTGAAACATCCCCTTCCCGGCTGGTCCATTCCCTAATCCCATCCCATTATTTCCCTTGATGTTCTTTATTCCTTATGGAGCTTCCTTTTGCATTTGCAAGGACACTCAGGATACTCAGTGACATCTATCTATGCCTTTCATCGGCTAGACATTTAGAGAGAATAGTTTGGGCCACAGCAATACCCAGAGGGTTGGAAGGAGACAGTTCTGACTCTGGGTCAAGCATTTTCTTTTAGCATAATGGGGCATCCAAATTGTGTCTCTTTCCACAAACACCATGCCTGTCTTTTTTTTTCTGGAGAAGATGCTGGCATTGGGTTGTCTAAGACTGGAGTAGTCAGGGCTTCAACCCCAGCTCTACCACCTACAGTGTGTGTTTTGGCCACATAAGTCAGCTCCTCAAAGTTGTGCCATATGTTAAGTTGCTTATGAGGTTGTCCGAATTAAGGTCAATAGAGTATGGGAAGAGTCCAGTCCAGGTTCTGACAAGAACAAGGGAAGTGTGTGGTCAGTGGAGATGTGAGTTACTCTTGAGCATGCCTACTGAGGCTCTCAGTACCTTTCAGGACGTAGGACCTCCCCTCGCTGGCCACCCTCTAAGGGTAGGGGAAGAGGGTGCCTGTGCTGAGACTGAGTTGAAGGCTAGGCCCTGAGCAGGGAGCACGTGCTGAATGACTTGCCCATGAAGACTAGTAACATCTGGCCCCAAGCACTCTGTAACAGCAAGAACAGGGTCTCAGTTGTCCTGCGGTCCTGGTGCCAGGCAACTCATCATTTTAATTGACCAATGAAGAATTCTGGGAAGGCTAGCACAGGCTGCCGTCCTTTCCTCCTGGCTGCCATAGGACTGGAACAAGATGGGTTCTGGTCCTCGAACTGTCTTGGAATCCTTACACAGTGACCTCCAGACTCTGACATGCCGGTAGCCATGTTCACCTTGTGCATTCCCAGGCATGTCATTGTCATCTGACTGATCAGATTGACCTTAGAATGTTTATGAAAAATACGGATTCTGCTGAGCACTGGTGGTTCATGGCCTGTAATCCTAGCTATTCAGGAGGCTGATATCTGAGGATAGCAGTTCAAAAGCCAGTCTAAGCAGGAAAGTCCATGAGACTTTTATCTCCAATAAAAAAAAAAGCTGGAAGTAGAGCTCTGGCTCAAGTGATAGAGCACTAGTCTTGAGCAAAAAAGGCTCAGGAACAGCTCCTAGGCTCTGCGTTCCCAGCCCAGGCTGCCTAAGATTCTAGGACAGTAAGCAGAGGCTCATGAGGTGTGCTGAGCCCAGAGCAGCTCAGACTTCTCTTCTTGCTCCTTCTCTCTCTAGGCCAGCCCTACTTGACTTCCAAAGATGCCCCAGAGGAAGAGGCTGTGTCCATCCAAGGAGTGCGGGGTGGCTCTGTAGAGCTGTCCTGTGGTTCTGGGCCTACCTCATTGGTGGTCCTCTGGAGCTTTATCCCCACAGATTCTGTGGTTCCTCGGCCTGTGGCAATCACTGATGGAGTCTCTTGGAAGGTGGAGGCTGGGGCTTCCACTCTGGGGGTTGTGAGTCTGAAGAACAGCAGCTTGCTGGTAGAGGAGCTCCAGGAGGGTGCCCAGGGCCACTTCTTGTGCCAGGCTCTGCACACATCTCCAGGCCAGCTTCATACCACCTACACCTACCTCACACTGGCTGTGCTGGGTAAGACACCAAGCCAGGGAGGCCGCTGACTGCAGCTGATCTGCATGCTGCATGGACTACACATTCTCTTTGCATGAGCTGGATCTGAGGATCCAAGGCTTTCCTCCAGAGAGTGAGGAAACCTGGTTTTGCAGAGAAGGGATGTTCAGGGCTGAGTGAGCAAGCAAGCGCTCAGCCAGAGGGGACAGGATCTGCAGGCACAAACCCAGGATCTTTTCCTTCCTCTGCCCAGTGCCCGTGTACAAGCCACAGGTGCGGCTGAGTGACCCGTCCCCAGTAGAAGGCGTCTCCGTGGAGGCCATGTGTGTTGTACGTGAGGGCACGGAACCGGTGACTTTTACCTGGTATCATGAGCCACCCCGAGGTCCTGGGGAGACACTGATTGGGTTCACAGAGCCCCTGCTCTGGCTGGATCCGGTCAACCGGTCACACCTGGGTTGGTATGTGTGCAGCGCTCAGAATGTCGTCAATGCACTGAGCAGCGACAGAGTCTTCCTGGATGTCATGTGTAAGTGGAACCTAAGGAACTGACACCCCTCCCCACCTGAGCATGAGCTCCCCCAAATTCTACAGGAGAGTGCCCCAACCTTCCAGAGTACTCTGACAGGCAAAAGGCCCTGGGTACATTACCCATTGGAGCCAAATGTACCAGAGTTCTTAACTTTTTGAGGACATGAGCTCTTGTGAGTACATCAATGTCCATGATTTTAGTGATAAGCTCAAGGATGGCCACAGTCAGTCTTTTGTTCAAGAATGGTTCAAAGTGATTGCTGAACCATGGATGGAGACAGAGAGGGAGCCCACATGGGCAGAGAGGGCATAGAACTAGTGCAAAGGCTGGGGCTGAGAAGCCCAAGTCAGAAATCAGAAGAGAAAGATGAAGAGGAGGGTGCCCTAGAACTCACTGTTCAAATAGACTAGCCACACGTGTGTCTTTGATGATTCAAAATACAGCTAATTGAGCTCTAAGTGTAACATGCACACTTGATTTTGAAAACCCAATCATAAAGAGAAAATATAAAATAGCTCATGAATTATGTGTGTGTATGTGTGCATGCACATGCGCATGTGCATGGATGTGTGTGAATGAGCGCGTGCCTGTACGGGGGTTTAAACTCACATCCTCACTCTAGTTTAGCTTCTTTGTTTGCTCAAGGCTGTTGCTCTACCATGTAAGCCGCATCAATTTCCTGCATTTTGCTGGTTAATTGGAGATGAAGAGTCTCTCAGGTTTGTTGGCCTGGGCTGGCTCCAATCTAGGATCCTCAGATCTTAGCTTCTTGAGTAGCTAGGATTATGGATGTGAGATGTGCCCAGCATATCAATAACTTCTCATTAAATTAAATTAAAGTAACATTTTGGATACATGAAATGTCTCAAGAAAGTTAAAACCAGTTGGTACTTTTTGTTGTCTAACTGAATTTGGCCATATTTCCTAAGATTTGGCTTACTAGAGAATTAAAAACACTTTCTGTAGCTTATACAGACTCTAGACTAGAGGTTTTAAGGAGCAGCCATGAATGGAAACCTGTTTGTCTTAATGGTGGTGGTGTGAGGAAATTGTGAGGTGACATGGAAGAGCCAGGTGAACGAGAGATCTCTCAGGAAGGAGCTTGGAGTGAGATGGAGGCAGGCAGGGATTTCAGTCTCCTCAGGTATCAGGCCCTCCAGCAAATAAAAGGTGTTGACTTCAGGGCTCAGCGTATTGTCCAACATGCCATCTCTGCAGTTCTCAGAGACCAAGAGCCTAGGGCCCAAGTAACCTCAGACCTGAGCATGCTGGGGGGGTTGGCCACCCTACTTTTCTTCCTCTGTCCAGCAAGCTCTTGCATGCCTTCTCCATGAGCCCACACAAGCAGTCCCTCTTGGGAGTCCCTAGACTCACAGCTTGCCTCTTGAGCCCTGCCATGTAGGCTGCCCACCCTCAGCAGCCCTGCTCACCTTGCATGGCCCTGTGACCATGGCCCCTTGGACTCGGAGTAACTGGAGGATGGGGGTGAATTATCTGCTCCAGGAATGGATGAACAGATTCAGCAAAGGCGACATGAGTGAGTGAGAGGACTTAGGTCGGGGAGGTGTGATGGGTCTTCCTTGGCCTCTAGATGGTCCAGACAAGCCGGTGATCACTGTGGAGCCCCTGGGATTCACCGACGAGGGCTTTTGGGCCAGTGAGAGACAGGAGGTGACCCTGAGTTGCCTGGCTGCATCCAACCCTCCAAGTCACTACGTGTGGCTCCATGATGATACTCAGATCCACACTGGGTCCATCTACATCATCGCCAGTGCTGGCCGCACCCACACAGGCTTATACACTTGCCTGGCCCAAAACAGGCACTTGGACACCCGCACCCAGACCACCATCCGACTCACCATCTACTGTGAGTGTACGGGAGGGGGCGGGGGCACCCACAGCCGGAGCCTACCCAGACTTGGACGCTGACAGGCCCCACCACGCTGTGGGAAGTGGGGTAAAACTGGCAGCAGTATGAGGGAGGGAGGTATATCAGGAGAGCCGGGTGGACTTATGGGGCTGGGGTGGGGGAGGGCACACATGAGGCCATAGTGAAACCCTCTGGGGGAAGTCTTTGACCTTAAATGACCACCCCTCCCTAAATAGTTCTTCCCATGGTCCGGAGGCCTGAACTGAGGCACAGAGAAGGGTAGACTGATGACTGGTAGACTGGTGAGAAGAGAATGGGAGTTTGGACTACCCACAAGGCCTCTGGTATTCATCAGGAGCTTGGACTCCTGCCAACCCTTTTCTTCTTGCTCCTTGATCTAAGTAAGGCCTCAGTATGTTTCCTTGTCATCCTCTCAGAGAAATCCAGTCTTTCTCTACTCGCCAACTTCTCCCAGCCTCTCCCACTTTGACATCCCAGGCCTTCAAGCCCCTTCCTAGCCCAGGCCTGCAGGGCACTGGATGTGGTTCTAGCCCCTCCTCTCGTCTCCTCACCCCCCACCCAGATCCCCCTGAGAGGCAGCCCTCCTGTACTGTGCTCCCCACCCCTGGGGCTGTGACTTTGCTCTGCACCTGGCCTGGGGGGCTTCCAGCTGCCCAGCTGCAGTGGGAAGGACCCCAGGGGACAGGCCCTACCGCCCCCAGCAATGTCACCTGGAGTCATGTAGCCACTGGGCTCCCCAACAACAGTGTCTTCACCTGCACTGGCCAACACCCATCCCTGAGACAGCCAGCCCTCTGCAGGATCACGCTCTGTAAGTAAACAGCCAGGGGCTGGGAGGCTGCAGGCAGTGTGGGTAGGGGTTGGATAGGGCCTAGGGTGGAATTCCAGATCTCAGGCTATGAAACATATGAGTAATTCACCCCTCAGCATCTAGCTCCCCAAGTTCCATCTGATGCCATGTTCTGGCCTCTTTAGTTCATGCATAGAGCCCATGCGACCCCCCTCTTCGCTGTTCCCCAGCCTCCATGGACAGCCCATCAGCCTTATACTCTATGACACGTTGGTTTGGAAATGTCTTTCCAATGTTTTCTCTGCTGCCTCCTCTTCTGCCCCTCTCTATCCAAGACTAACGTGATTCCGTCGGCAAGGTCCTCCTCCGGATGCCCTTTCTACCTATAGCCTTACACTTTTTATTTTTTGTCAGTCATGGGGCTTGAACTCAGGGCCTGGACGCTATCCCTGAGGCTCCAGACTAGGGCACTACCACTTTGAGCCATAGCTCCACTTCTGGTGTTCTGGTGGTTACTTGGAGATAAAAATCTCATGGATTTTTTTTCTGCCCAGGCTGGCTTTGAACCATGATCCTCAGATCTCAGTCTCCTGAGTAGCTAGGATTACAGGCGTGAGCTACCAGCAACCAGCTTTTTTACACTCTTTAAATGTTTGTTAGTGTCCACTCTCATTATCCTACCACGTGGCCAGGCCCCTAGAAAGGATGAATAAAAGAGTGACAGAGTAATGGAGGAATGAGTGAAAGGCATAAAGAAGAGAGGGGAGGGGGAAGGAAGGCCTGCTAAGGCCTTCTTCCTCGCATAGGCCCTTGCTGAACCACCATCCCTTTCTAGGGGAACCACCCTGGAGCCCAACCTGTAGGACCACAGCTACAGTAGGCGACCAGTTCATCATGCTGAGCTGTGAGTGGCCTGGAGGTCACCCTGCTGCTGTTCTGAGCTGGCTCGATGGGCAGCAGCAGCCCTTGGGCGGCAGCAGTGATTCGCTGGCAGTCCACCTCCTGAAGGCTCAGGGAGGTCTGTCTGGTAAAGAGTTCACCTGCCGGGGCTCTCATCCCCTCAGGAGCGCAGATCTTCACTGCCAGATCCGGCTGGGTGAGTTACAGCCAGGGTTAGAGCCTGGTTCTGGGGCTGAGGCAAAAGGGGCAGCACTTCGGAACGAAGGACCCAGACCTGGGGGCAGGTGGAGCTGTGTTGGAATGGAAAGAAACTGATTCACCTCCCACTAAAGGTGTTTTTTTGTGTCTGTCCTGGAGCTTGAACTCAAGGCGTGATCCCTGCCCCTGAGCTGCTTCATGCACAGGCTAGCACTTTACCACTTGAGCCACCGCTCTATGTCTGGCTTTTTGGTAGTTAATTGGAGACAGGAGTCTCAAGAACATTCCTCCCTGGCTTTGAACTGCAATTCTTACATCTCAGCTTCCTGACTAGCTACAATTACAAGTGTGAGTTACAGCACCTGGCAGTCTTAAAGATTTTTGATCCCTAAAATAAGAGAGATTGGTCTGGTTTAATGTCCAATATGAAGATAATGCAAGCTATGCATGTGATTTTAAATTATCTTGAGGCCACATTAAAAGCAAGTCAGAGAAAAGACAACGGAATATATTGAACAGAATTCAATATATTGAATTAAAATTATTTTTATTATGCATATTACAATATATTTAAAATACATAATTATATATTTTAATTTATACTAATAATATCTAATTATATATTAAACACATTAAAAATATTTAGTTACAATAAATTTTTAATTCAATATCTTGAATTAAATTTGTTAATTTCAATGTATTCTAATTTTAACATGCAATAATAAAAATATTTATGAGCTATTTTTCTCTTTTTTCATCCTCTTTTGAAATCCAGTGTATTGATAAATAAAACACAACATATAGCTGGGCGCTGGTGGCTCACTTCTGTCATCCTAACTACTCAGGAGGCTGAGATCTGAGGATCACTGTACCAGGCCAACACCAGGCAGGAAAGTCTGTGGGACTCTCATCTCCAATTAAGCACCAAAAAAAGCTGGAAGTGGAGTTGTGTCTCAAGTGGTAGAGTGCTAGTCTTCAGCAAAAAACCCTCTCATAACACCCAGGCCCTGAGTTTAAGCCCCAGGACCAGCACAAGCAAACCAACAAAAACCCACAGAAAGCACAACAGTTTTGACTGGCTCCCTTTCAGGTTCTCAGTGGTCACATGTGACTATGGTATTGGACAGTAGGTGTGGGGATGTCGAGTGCATCTCTCAATGACATCTCTTTGCATAGGGAGGTGCTTCTGCTACATTCTTGACTGACGTTAATATTTCAGATGTCAAAGGTCTCCCTCCCTTCTTTTGCTTGTGGTCTTTTTCCTTCTGTCTTCATCTGATCAGCTACTCTAATAGCAACTGGAGACAAAAAAAAGAAATTACATGTTAAGAAATGTTTAAATGTGGAAAAAGCAAACACAGGGGTGGGCACATGCAACAGCTCTCACAAAATGATTTACCTCTTGGTCTCCAGAGGCTTTGTGACTAGCATGCTTTGGGGGTAGGCAGGGGAGGAGGCATGGAGGTGACCTCCAAGGAGGTCCTCAACTCAAAACAGTTCCTTTCCTATTACTCAGTTTCAGGACCGGAAATTCCATCATAGGAGATTCATCAACACCTGAGAGTCTGGGTCTTTAATAAGCGTCTGTCCATAAAAACAGAACACCTGCTCTAGCCCAGCACTCTGCCTGGAGCCAGGCGAGGGAGGGCATAAGGGGGAAGGAGGCCCCTTCCAGGTAGTAGAGGGGGGTTTATGTAGACATGAGTAAGGCAAGACCCCCTCTTTGCAAGAGTGGAGGCTGGGGAAGCATGGAGAGGGGGCAGGAAGGTGAAGAAGCATTGCTATTGCCAGCTAACCAGATGTGAAGGTCACTCGGTATAGACTTGGAGTTTGACAGGAGGGTGGACGGGCCCAGCACATGCTTCACTGCCCTCTATCTTTTCTTCTCTTCTGCTTTCTACCCCCTTTTACTACTGGCCAACGTTTCTCCCTCAAGCCTTCTGGAGAGCTGGGGACAATCGGTTGTTTCCATCCTCACTTTCTGTCCCTGCAGAAGCCCCTCAGCTGGCAGTGGCTGAGTCCCAGGTGTCAGTGTTGGAGGGGCAAGAGGCCTGGCTGGAGTGCACTCTTCAGGGGGGCGTGCCCCCTGCCCAGCTCCTCTGGCTGGCACCTCGGCAACAGCAGGTGGAACAGAGCACTTCTGGATACATGCTCTACTCCACGAGTGCCCAACTGCACCTCCGAATCCGAGACGCTGACCCAGCACACCACAGGGGCACCTACCAATGTGTGGCCCACAATGCTGTGGGCAACAGCAGCCAGGATGTGCGGCTAGAGGTTCTGAGTGAGTGCAGCGGGCGTGTGCTTGGGTGGCAAAGAGGATGGTGGGACACTAGCAGTCCCAGAGTCCTTTGCAGAAAGCCTTAGAAATTCCTTGCTCTAAAACTTGGACACCCTGGGCTCCCTCGGGCTTCAAGAAGAACCCCCTTTCCCTGCTCCCAAGCCAGTACAATCCTGGTGGGTGAGATGAGTCATGAATCGGATGCCGATTCCTGGGTAGGCTAGCGAGTTTGCATCTCATGCCATCTTGAATACAGGCATGCAGAATTCCATGCCATCTGAACCATTTCCTTGTCCTCATTTCATGGAGAAAGTGGACTTGGTAGATTTGCTCAGGAGTGCGAACCCCAATCTAGCATATCTCCAATCTAGTCCATCTTCCACACTGCAGGCAGTCTCTCCACAGGAACCAATGTGGCTGGTTGTGTTCCCTCCCGCCTCTCTCCCCACCCCACTCACCTCCAGGGTATCCGGCTCCTCCCAATGTTACCATCAGCCACCTGATGTACAGGCGGCACCGGAGAGAGGTGCAGCTGCAGTGGGCCATTCAGGGCCCTGGGAACCTGACTGGCTTTCTGGTGCAGCGGAGGGCCAGTGTCCCCAGCCCAGGAACAGGGGCTTGGGAGACAGCAGCTAGAGACATTGAGCCAGAGAGCAGGGACCGGCTTCTGGGAGGCTTGGACCCAGGGGTCCTTTATGCCTTCCGAATCCTGGCTCTGAATCACCGAACCGCAGGACATCCCTCCGAGGTGAAGACACCAGGTGCTGGGCTGATGGCAGGGAGAGACTCATCTTCCCCCCTCCTCAAAGCTGGGCCATCTTCCTCTCGACCCTCGTCCACACAATGCCCCCACCCCCCTCCATTCCTTTGCTTCCTTCTTGCTGGGTTCCCCAACCTCAGTCTGTCCTGTATTCTACCCTCTCCTTGGGGGTGCTTGGGTAGTATCGATTACTCTCTCCAACCCCTTCCTGGGGATTCAAGAGGATCCAGGCCTAGGGGCAGAACTCAACCCAGCTTGAATCAGAAGGAACATGGGAGAAGGGAGGAAGGCGGTGGAGATTTCTTATGGAGAGGAAGCCCACTCTGTGTCTCAGTCTCACTCCTGGGGTGTAGAGCACTCTCCGTTTCCTGTTGATCTCTCTCTGTGTTCTGGGAAACTCTCATTTTATGGCTAGACTGCCAAGACAAGCAGCCTTCTGCTTTCTGGGCCAGAAATAGGGGATTTGGCGGAGGACTCAAATGATCAGGAGCACCAGGCAGCCAGAATACCTCTCCCCTTGGGAGGGAACTGACTGCCAGGTTCTCTGGGGGCCCCATGGCAACTGGCCGACAAGCTGATCAGGATACCCACCTCCTTCACCCTGTGTGGCTCTAACCCCTGCAACCCACGCTCTGCTCCCCTCTTCCCCAGTGGACCCTCCCTTCAGTGCCTATCCAGCAGTGTTGGGTGCAGCAGGCACGGGAATGGTGGTGGCGACAGTGGCTTCTCTGTTGGTGTTCCAGTATGCAGCGCGGCACCCTCAGACTTTCCCCTGTGAGTCTGAAAACTTGGTAGACACACACCCAAAGGAGAAATTAGGTTCTTCCTAATATCTGTGACCCTTTCCCTAAGGCTGATGCTGTCTTCTGGGTCTCCGGACCCCAGCGTCAGGTTCTGGGCCATCTCCTTCTGGTTCCTGGAGACCAGGAATGGAGACCACAGGGAGGCAAAGGAGGATCGTTCTCATGAGAACCATGTCAAGTCTGTCAAGTAACTCTTCTCCTTTTCTTCCTGCAGGTTTCGGGCAGCTGCTTATTCCCCTGTGAGTAGGGGGCCCTGGTCACTCTAGGGGAGGACTTTGGTCTTCACCACAAGGGAAGGCTAGGAAAACAGTTGCTACCAACTTTCCTCTTGTCCTTTCTCCACAGGGAGCACAGGGACCAACAGAGGGGCTCAGAAGACCCAGAGACACACACAGGTAAGCACAATTTTATACTAAAGATTATCCAGAAGAATGCAAAAAGAAACGACCAACCCTTGGGAGCTGGAGGTGTGGTTCAGGTGGTGGAGCATCAGCCAATGAATGAAAGAAAGATCCCGAGTTTTGAGTCCTGGTCAGCTGACTTTCATTCACATGCTGTTGGACTGATTGTTCTCTGAGAAAAATCAGCCATGCCATCCCTCACTAAGGCACCTATCTCTCTATCTCTTCTCTGTCCATCTACGCTCTTGGTAGGCATAGAGACACCAGTTACCTCTTCAAGTTTGGATCCTGGACAAGAAGCCACTGATGCTCCAGTCAGTGTTACCATCACAATGACTGCAACACCATGAGGAAGGTGTAAGTAGGCCAAGGGAGATGGGAAGATATGGGCACTTTGGTTTTTAAAACCTTGGTCTTAAATAGCAGATTCATTTAATACTAGACTCTATAGTCTGAGGACCCCAAATATGTTGGTCATAAGAGATTTGGCCTGGCGACAGAAGTATGAGCAAGTAAGCTGCTTCCAGGAAAACAACAACAACAACAAAAGAAAACAGGAGAACTGTAGATGGAGCCATTGCTAAGAAAATCACACCTAATATTCTTACTAAGTGAGGGTTACTTCAATTGCAATTTATTCGGAGAGAGGCTAATTGCAGTGCCCACGTCTAGCGAGGGGAAGCTGGATGCATGGATGTGTTGCCTTTGTTCAAGTGCGGCTTAGAAGCATCCCTGACCTGCAAGTGGTCAGACTTGCCAGCCGGACACAAAGGTGTTCCAGAAACAGCATCCAGCCACCCGGCCTGGGGGAGCTGGCTGACTAGAGGGGAGAGGCTGTTCCAAAGTCACACTTCGTCAGCTGCCAACATGAGTCACTGGCTCCAAGTGTGTGTGTATGTGTGTGTGTCTGAAAGCAGAGTGCAACACAAATGAGTGCTTGTTCAGCTGACTTCGAGGAGTGAGGACTCTCAGAGCTGCCTCCACAGGGGACTCAGATGGGAAGAAACAGCCAGCCAGCCAAGGGATGATGTGCCAGCAATAAGGAAAGTGGCGCCTGACGGGAGACAGAAAACGGAGAGAAACTTCAGAAGTGACTTGAGTTCTCACAGACTTAGACTTTATTAGAAGAGAGGTTTCAGCGTCTCCCAAAACTCTCAGGACTGGGGTTAAGATTTAAAGGAGGCTTATTTAAGTATGGGAAATAAAATACAAAAGGGCCACATCGGATAACAAAGATTATGTTGGCTTTCTGATGAAGAGAGGCCTAGAAAATTCTCCCCCCTCCTCCCCCCTCCCCCCCCATCAGGGCAGTAAAACAAAACTTTTTTTTTTTTTTTGTCAGTCATGGGGCTTGAACTCTGGGCCTAAACGCTGTCCCTCAGCTCTTCAGCTCAAAGCTACTTGAGCCACTGCACCACTTCTGGTTTTCTGAGTGGTTTATTGGAGATAAGAGTCTCATGCACTTTCCTGCCTGGGCTGGCTTTGAACCACAATCCTCAGATCTCAGCCTCCTGAGTAGCTAGGATTACAGGCACAGCCACCAGTACCCGGCAACAAAACTTCTTTTGAGGTGACTGTATTTCTACTCTGAAATTCCTGACACTGTGGCCCTGGGTAGGTGGCAAACATAGACAATGTGTGAGGAAGGACTTTATCTTACTTCCCTTCTCCTCCCTTCCAAGAAATGCTTGGTGATCCAAGGGTCCCTTTACCTCCACACCAGAATTTCTTCAGCATTCCTATTCAACATTTGCCCAAGAGCCTGTTTGTTCCTTCGGGGCCTGGACCTCCAGAGTTAGAGCACACAGATAACTAACCTGGTTCTTGCATCTACACGGGAGAATCTTTTTTTTTGGGGGGGGGGGGGCGGGAGGAAGATGAAGATGGAGCTCCAAGACGTTACACCCACTCCATGCAAATAGTATGGTCACTGGGAACAGACAAGGCATGTCTGAGTCTCCCCGTCTTCACAGGAGACAACATGAAAAGCAGCATTCTCTTTTTAATATAAAATCATGTCAACTAAATAAAACCTGTCGAAAGCTACATCACTTAAAATATGTACAATTTCAAACATCATATTACAGCTTTGAGAGGGGAAGAAAAAAGAGTACTTTTCAATATGGTACAAAGCATGCATCTCAGTCACTACGTTAAAGGAGAGTAACACAGGTGCAGTTCAGTCACAAAGGTGGCCTCTTGGCAGTGCTGCAGCTGAATGACATACGTCATAAGTGATGCCTTAGTCTTCAGAGACTCAGTCATTACACAAAAGTAAACTCTAGCAAGGAATGCTTTTTGAAAAGACCATTTCAAAGGTGAAGAACATTGTAATATAACAGGTACTCTGTATAGCAATTATCACCAGATGATGGTCAGTATGTAATGCAGAGGAAAATCAGAGAGTTGGGGAAATGGTCAAGTGTGGGGGCGGGAGGGAAGATTAGATTAGGTACAATAAGGAATCCATGGGACTCTAGGGTAAGAGGCACGAGAAGAAGCTCTAACTGACTTTGCCATCACTGAGCTGGGAAAATCAAATTCTCCAATGTGGGGTGGGGAGAGGAGGGGTTTCAAAGTTTGAACCATAGATTCCTGAAGACTAAATACCAGGCAAAGAGCTCTTCCCTGGTAGGCCAGAAGGTGCCTTTCCCTGGCTGCAGTCAGAGCCTTGGGGAAATTCCACAGCTGGGGCAGATAGCAGCACACGTAATGGGACTGCTTCTGTCAAAAGAGTAAACCACACGCTTCTGGAAAGTGGTATGGAAAAATGGGAGGCGACTCCAGATAAACCAGGTTTCAAGTTAAGTCTCTGTGGCTCATCGCATGACCTGGGAGTTCCACAACTATTTTGTAGATTTGTTGTGATGACTGGGTGAGATATCATTAATGAGCACTGACCACAGTAGTTCCTCTGCAAATGTGACCGCTGTTCCCCACATTGTCCTAGGGCCTTTCATCTCCTGGGGGGATCGACATTAGGTAGGGCTGTGTCTGGTGACTGTGCAGGGCATGAAAGTTCAGAGCAACTCATTCTAAGAGAGAACTCGTAACTCCTAAACATAAAGGCAATTATATATTTATATTTATATTCATATATCTCAATATATAAAGGCATTTTTATAAATAAAATACAATAAAAGGGATAACACTTAAAACAGCGTTACTAATAATATAAATAAAGCAGTCCACAATGAGATTGCCTAAAAGGTAATTTTTCTCTTCCTGTGGACAGTGTCCCATATACAACCTCATTCTTTAAAAGCAGTTTCTGACCTATGGCTTTCTATGACCATACTTCTGTTTTGTGAGTCAGAATGACCACCTGAACACGGGACTCCCCCAAATTTTCTAAAAGTATCACTCTAACCTAATTGGCAAGACACACAGGGTAGGTTTTCGTATTCTGTGTACTAGGCTTTTGTCCTGTGCTAGTCACAGAGCAAAGGGCTGCAGATTACTCCCTCCAAAACCAGGCAAACTGCAGTAAAGCAACATGGAAGGTAGGCACTAGCATCTACACCAACTCTACACCAGCCTAACATTCAACTAGGGAATGATCTACTACATTCCCCTGGAAGTAACCCTTGCATAGTGGCCCAGCTGAGACAATACATTTTCACTAACAGTTCTATATATAAGAGATATAGACATATGTTGGGGAAGATGGATGCAGTTAGTTATATAGAAAGTTGATTCATACACTCTCTTGTGATAGCTAGGAAACTAATGTTAGTTTCAAGCATGTATTTTGAAAAGCAGTGGGACATTAAGGCACTGATTTTTTTTTTTCTCTCTGGCCTTGGTTTCCTTTCTGCATAGGGCAATAATCCAACCAGACCTTGCACTCTTCCTGCTTCATAATACCGCTTAGTAATTAGTACCTTGAGATTGAACATTACTTGTGCTCACGTGCAGACAGAAAGTGAGTCAGCAGGTCTTATTAGCACCGTGGTGAAAGGCACTCATACAATTCATCAGCCAATCCTGCTATTATAAACATTAGGTCACACTTGTGGTTGGTTTCAAAACATTCTTAGAATGTCTGATAACACAATATCAAATGACAGCTTTCTATCTGGAAATATGGCTAGTGGCAAACTTCAAATGGACTGGGCAATTCCCTTCTTACTGAATTGGTCAGCAACACTGGACCCCACGACATGAGTTCTTACTATCACAGAATGACCCCTCATTCTCCAAATGCTTGAAAACTAGGAAATATGAGGCCATTTCCTATTGAAAGGAAAGGAAGAAATGGAGGAGGAAACTTCTACAGCATAAATAATATAAAAGGGCACACATTTTAAGATACATTCATGACATTACGACTACAAAAAAATAAATAATGCTTTTCTCTGGTTTGAATGAATGGCCTTCATACTGTCCATCCCCGGGCCGGTGTGTGCAGTTACTAGCTTGCAGTGGGAGCATGATCATCCTCAGGTTTCCTGGGGTTGCTGAAGGACCCCTGATGGGCTGTCTAAAGGAATGCCAGGAGGAGACCATGTTGTCTTCTCAGTACAGTCTTCTGAGAGAGGTGACAAAATGAGAGGGTTCCAACTTAAAGTTTTGTTTTCTGTTTCTGAATGGAGATAGTTGTCTCCTGAAAAACAGAAAGGGTTGAGGAACAGGATGAAACAAAGGAGATATATATATATATATAGATCTATCTATCTATCTATCTATACAAGCACACATATATATATGTATATGTGTGTTTGTGTGTGTATATATATATATATATATATATATATATATATATTATTTTTTGCCAGTCCTAGGGCTTGAACTCAGGGCCTGGGTACTGTCCTAGAAGCTCAAGACTAAAGCACTACCACTTTGAGCCATAGCTCTACTCCGGTTTTCTGGTAGTTAATTGGAGATAAGAGTCTCATGGACTTTTCTGCCTGGGCTGGCTTTGAACCTCAATCCTCAGATTTCAGCCTCTTGAGTAGGATTACAGGCATGAACCACTGGCACTTGGCTATAAAGGCTGGTTTTTACAGAGGAGTTTAAAAATAGTAATGTTGAGCAATAGAGAAGGAACAATGAGCCAAAGTAGAGTCCAATTATATTTGGCTTAAATTTGTGAGAGACAGTAGGTTTAAAAAGCATAAAAGTCTTTAGGTTGAATACCTCTAAAAACTCTAAAGTAACTATCTTAAAGAAAGCTTAGTTGGGTATGGTGGCTCATACCTGTAACCATAGCTACTCAAGAGGCCGAGTTCCAGGCCAACCTTGGCAAAAAATTGACCAGATACCATCTCAAGCAATAAAATCTGGATGTGGTATACATGCCAGATATCTAGGAAGCATAAATAGGAGGACCATGGTGTAGGTGTAGGAGGACCATGGTGTAGGTATAGGAGGACCATGGTGTAGGTATAGGAGGACCATGGTGTAGGTATAGGAGGACCATGGTGTAGGTATAGGAGGACCATGGTGTAGGTATAGGAGGACCATGGTGTAGGTATAGGAGGACCATGGTGTAGGTATAGGAGGACCATGGTGTAGGTATAGGAGGACCATGGTGTAGGTTAAGGCAGGCATAAATGCAAGGCCCCATTAAAAAAAAAAAACTATAGCAAGAAGGGCTCCAGTTGAGTGTCTGCCTGGTTAAGTGCAAGGCCTCAAACCTCAGTACTTCCAAAATTAAAAAACAAACAAGCAAACTCACCTCATATCATAAAGGTGTCATTCTCTCAGCAGGTACAAAGAAAACCCAAGCCTATTTGGGTCTATTAATTATCTCAAATATGATTAACAGCAGGAGACGTGAGGATGTCATAATAGGATTTCAAATAATCCTTTATCCAACCTATCTTTTCTTGAAGTTTCCTAAACCTTCACTCTGTCTTGTAGGAAATAGGTGAACCCATCAGAGACCACTGAGAAAGCTATAGTTTAAAACACCCTCCCGTACCTCTGTTAAACTCTGCTGGGTCATCTTCTGTGGACTCAGAGTTGACATCATTTGTGTTGTCCTGACAGCAGGAGTGTTGGGTAGGTGTTAGTACCACACTGTCCTTGAAGCTCTCCTCAGGAAACTGGCCACAGTCAGAGACAGTGGAAGCCAGACACACAGGCATCTTCATGGCTCGGAGGGGCTTCATTTCCAGGCTGTCTTGAGGGTAAGGGGCTCCCACGGGGACCACAGAGAGGGCACTGTTGCTCAACGTGCTGCTGGCTTTGGTAAAACACCTGCAGAGTTTAAACCAAAGAAACAGGAGTGTCTCAGGGGCATCAATAATTAGAATCTGAAATAGCATTTGGTATTGTATATATACAGATTTTTTAAATGAACACTGGTACTTAAAAATGACTTTATGATTATTATGCCTTGAAATACCAAGAGCTCAAAAATTACAGCTACGGTGGAATACTGCAGGAGAATGCATCAAAAGGCAAATCACAAGAACAGAATCTTGCTAGGTACTGCTTGCTCACACCTGTAATCCTAGCTACTTGGGAGGCTGGGCTACTTGGGAGCTAAATTGGAAGCCAGATGGGTTAGAAAAGTCCACAGACTCCACCTCTAATTAACCAGAAAACGCCAGGTTTATCATACACAAAAGTCTGTGCTACTTTTTAAGAATTCAGGTTGTCTGGGACCTATCAATTTATTAAGAAAATCTTTTGGCCTGTCTGACTAACCTATAAGATAGGAAAATGGCATCACGCAAAAAATAGTAAAATATTATTTAACCATCTGAACAGTACAGATTCAGGATTGTATTTGGAAAACAAAGGTAGTTAGAAGTTGACTAAATATATTTTGGCTATTTCTGAAATATTTTCCAGAGAACTATTCCATGTCTGATTACATGGCTAACTATTTGTTAAACATTATGAAGAGTTACTGCAATTAGGCTAAATCATTATGTAAGTTTTGCAGTGTGTGTGTGTGTGTGTATGCATGCATGCATGCGTGCATGCACACACGTGTGCATGGGAATGGAACCCATGTGATCCCACTAAACTGCAGACCAGCCCACAGTCTCTCTTTTGATTATCCCTGAGGGCAAGGACTAACTATGAATCTCTTGGATGCGTGATGCTTATTTTCATGCAGGTACTTGGGAGACTTCTGAAAGTTATATTTGGGTGATGGTTTAATATTCAGCTCATCTCTGCTGTTTCCTCATGCCACTGTGTCTCATGTAGGGAGCTAGTAGAACCCTGATGACATTCTTCCAAGGCCCCATCCTCCATTCTCATTGTCAAACTGCTAGAAGCTACAATGCCCAGTATCAGACTAGGAGTTTCCTTTGGGGACTTAATTTACCAGTGGCCACTACATTGGAGGTGACTATAAATGCTGGGAAACAAGACTGGGGTGCATTAGTGAACGTGGCAAACTGACCCCCAAACAACTGACAAACAAACAAATAAATAAATGACCCCAAGCACCACTCTCTGACAACAGATCCCTGGCCTTCATATAAGAAACAGAAAACAGATGAGGAAGATATATAACTTCTTCAAAAGGAAGATACTAAGTTTATACAAAACGATCAGCAATAACAAAATGATCTGCTAGAAGAAAGAGTGAAGGTATGCCGAGCAATTAACAAACCAACTAAGTAAATCAAATCCTTGGCCTGAAAGAAGCCCTAAAATACTCTCTGTTCATCTCTGTACCCAGTTTTCATTGGAGCACATGTGGCTTCAGTTGTGAAAGAGCTCCCAAATGTAAGAGGACACAGGCTTTTGAGGATGTCACTGCAAAAACACTTGGAGATGGTTTGTATGATCTATATATTCCAGAGTGCTATCCCCAAGAGTTTCTGTTCTCTTCCTGACTATCAGCCACGTAGCTTGTACATTTCCCCCCACTAGGTGAGTTATATACATTTCTTCAAGCTGAGTTTTGATTGGCTACTTCCTGTCCATTTCCAGTCTCACTAGGCCCCTTAATTTCTTGTTCTTTCCTGATGGGACCTTAGTTTGTTCATCTGTGAATTTCATCAGTGTCCTCTCTACTTTCTCTTAACAAACTATCAAGATGGATGGCAAACAGATCCCATTTAATGTCAATCCCTTCCCATTAAACTAGCCAAGCCAACTGACAAACCATACTGTTTACATATCCAGAGCTGCAATACTGCATCTAAATGAGGAGAAAGGCAGACAGCTTTTGATGTATTTGATTAATAATTTTTTAATTTTTTTTTTGCCAGTCATGGGGCTTGAACGTATTAGGGCCTGGGCACTGTCCCTGAGCTTCTTTGTGCTCAAGGCTCTACCGTTTGAGCCACAGTTCCACTTCCAGCTTTTTCTGAGTAGTTCATTGGAGGTAAGAGTTTCACAGACTTTCTTGCCTGGGATGGCTTTGAACCATGATCCTCAGATCTCAGCGTCTTTAGTAGGATTACAAGTGTGAGCCACCAGTACCCAGCTTTGTTTAATTCTTGAAATGCCTGACCCACAGAAAGATTTCTCAATTGAGAAATTGCAAAGATCCACTAAATATGCTTCTTTCTAGCTTCTCACAGTGAACTCTTACTGGGTTAAAAACCTGAAAAGGTTCCAGCTAAGGAAATCCAGTGAGGCAGGCAGGCAGGCAGGCATTCATAACATACCACAAAGTTCATAGAGCAAAATCAAACTTCCCCACAGTGCTACTCTCTCCTCTTGCTCATTTTCAATTATTATTCCAATCATGCTTCCTCCAGTTCATACAACAACTCAGGCAATGTTTCTCCCCAGACAGCTATTCCTAAGCTATAGGGATTAAAAAAAAGGGACTAAAGGTCAGTAACGACTTGCTTCCTAAAAGTCCACTCAAAGAAATACATTTACGTCTAAACCTGAGGAGGTAGACAGAAAGGAAACTGGAGCAACAGGACCCAGTACAGGTGAGGTTCCGTGTAGGAAGGACCGTAAGGGAGACCTTATGAGTGTTTGGGCAGCGATGGGACACGAAACATGAGTTTGATCAGGGCAACGTCACATCTAAAAGGGTGGGCCACACAAGACACTACTGGGTAAATCACTCATCACTGCAGTGTTTCCTAGCTCAGTGATTGCACCCAACTACCTAGATCCATCCTTGACTCTTCCTTCCACTACCCTCCCCTTCCAATTACCCTAATTTTTATTTTTGTTTCAATCTCCCAAACTTATCTACTGCTAAATTCTAAATCTCTCTAATTCTTCATGTTGCCTCCACATGTTCAACTACCCTAATCCACTATTTCTCATCTGGACTATTACAACTGCTATCCTAACTGTCCCCACACTGTTCCCCTCCTAGACTTCAACCCATTTATTCTTCAAATGGTATCCAGCGTGTTCTTAGAAACCAGTCTTCTCATGATGCTATCCTGAGGAAATCCTTCACTCACTCAACATGGTTCTGAGTGATGTGATTTCTCTCCCTTTTGACCTCTGCACCTTTCATTTCCTCAGTCCCTTCTACAACCGCCTTCTTTAGATTCTCTGGGGCTTTAAGCATTCTGCATTATTAGAGATTGGAATAAATAGAATTCTCTGCTTGGAAAGCTCCAAACCTATCTCTTCCTCTTTTACTTGATTTTACAAATTCTTCGGAGATTAGCAAAAAATGTCGTTGCTTAGGGAGGTCTTTCCTCTCTAACATATCCTCCCTGACTTTTCCTTTAAAGCATCTAACTTTAATTGTATATCCACTGTTCTGATTTATGTCATTTATGAGAAAGTTATGTCTTCTCCTAAACCAAACTCTAAGCGCCAAGCAGGCAAGGGCATATCTCTCTGGCTCACTGCTATGTCTGCTGCATCCAGTTTAGCACTGGTAACTGTAGACCTTTGCCAACGTTTGCTGGGTGAACAAATAAATGAATTGTCTTTTTCCTTCTCACTCTCCTTATTTTACAGCTCTCTTTCTCTCCTCTTTTATTGTTTGGCAATATATCAAGGAAGTAAGTAAAAAAAAAATAGTAAGATATCTTATGAAAATGTCTAATCACAGTAAAGATGCAGGAAATAAAAGTAAATTAAGTCTTAGACTAAATATATAAAAATAATCAGCCAGGTTATTGCCTCTGGATGATCTTATTTGTTTTTTAATCTGAATACTTCCATACAAATGTTCCTAAATATCTATTTTAGTCTCCATCTGCACCCTGACCCCAAGACCAGTGTGTATACAAAGGCCTTCCTTACAGTGATATCTACCTGGTCTCTTTCCTTCAATCTAAGCTATACATGCCTACCATTCATTGAGCAAAAATATGACTTTCTTCTCAGAAAGCTTCACATGAATCAGGATGGATGTTACTAGGCCAGAGTTTCCTTTTTTGTTTTTTGGGTCTGGTCATGGGGCCTGAACTCTGGGCCTGGGCGCTGTCCCTCAGCTCTTCAGCTCAAGGCTAGTGCTCTACCACTTGAGCCACAGCGCCACTTCTGGCTTTTTTCTTTTTGTTTATGTGGTGCTGAGGAATGGAACCCAGGGCCTCAGGCATGCAAGGCAAGCACTCTACCACTGAGCCACCTTCCCAGCCCCTCCTTTTGATTAATGTAAAAATCGCATACTCTTCTGCTGTTTATTACAAAAATAAGGTTTTTTCTGTTTTACATATAAAATTGTAAGATTCACCATGCTTCTCTGAACTCTATTCATTATATTTCTCGCCCTGAGAACCATTACTAACTGTAGGCTTTCTGAAGGTAGGCTAGGCTAAATCCTAGTACATGATCAGACTCATACTTCCATACATACAAATGGCCACAAATTCAAGATGACAAAGGTTGCTTAAATGCTTTTAAGGAAATGGAGGGTATTTTTAGTAATAAGATGGTATTTTATCATAAAGACACATCTTTACCAAAGTCTACAATTAGATTATGGTGGGTGCAATTTTATATTTACTTGGGACAATCTTTTCATTTTTTTTTCTAGAAAGGAAAGAGCCTCAGAGATGCTATATAACTTCCCCAAATATCAGAGGTTTAAGAAGCAGCAAAGCCCAGGACTTCTTATTCTTAGACCAAAGGTCTTCTCATTATACCATTCTAACATGTAGTGAGAGGCAACATCTGCTGATGGCCATGAGAACAATCTAGTTTGAATCCAGGGAAAACCATCTGTAATAAGGAATCCATCCGATCACTGACCAAGTGTAGGAGCAGCTTGTGTTCATTAGCATGTTACCTAACCAAATGTGGTAATCTGTGACAAGCTCAGACATGGCTTCCATGTATGAACATTTTAAAATTGAAAGTCATTTGGAAATTAAATACCTAACAAGTAACTTTTTTTTTTTTTGTCAGTCATGGGGCCTAAACTCTGGGCGGGGGCGCTGTCTCTCAGCTCTTCAGCTCAAGGCTAGAGCTCTACCACTTGAGTCTCAGCCCCACTTCTGGCTTTTTCTGCTTATGTGGTGCTGAAGAATTGAACCCAGGGCCTCATGCATGCAAGGCAAGCACTCTACCACTAAGCCACCTTCCCAGCCCCAACATGTAAATTTTAATACATAAACCAGGGAGATGGTTCTAGATAATATAGGAATTTTTCAACAGGTTAAGTAAGTGCTAACAAAAAGTCTCTACTTCTTGTGGGGGATCAGGTACAATCTCACTTTTTTGTCCAGACTGGCCTCAAACTGTGATCATCTAACATGGGGCCTTAGCACAGTTGGGATTCAGACATATCCCACCAAGCCTGGCCTATTTGTTGGCAAAAAGTCTTGGTAACTTTTTGCTTAAACCTCTATCTTTCTGATCTCTACTTCTCAAGTTGCTGAGATTATGGGTGTGAGCCACAGTACTCAGCCAAAACAATGTACATTTAATTCTACAATTAACCAGATCTTTCTTGAAATTCTGGTGTGAATAACTCTCAGAGACAACTTGGTCTTTAAATTTATTTTTAAAATATAGTTCAAACCCTTTTTCAATCATGAAATATCCAAACTGCAATCCATACTCCAAATATTTTCTGTACTAATGATGTCTTTTTAGGTATAGAATTAGAATCCAGTGTCATTATTATGCTGAGTAGTGAATCAAGATTTCTGACACAACTTTGAGAAGCTTAATAATCCTTTGGAATTCAAATAACAAGTGGTAGCATAAAAAAGCTTTCTAGGTGTTGAAGTTGATTCGTTTTGTGTTTTTATTTTGTCTGTTTTTTTTTAAATTTTTTTTTTTTGGGTCCGGTCGTGGGGCCTGAACTCTGGGCCTGGGCACTGTCCCTCAGCTCTTCATTTCAAGGCTAGCGCTCTACCACTTGAGCTACAGTGCCACTTCCGGCTTTTTTCTTTTTGCTTATGTGGTGCTGAGGAATGGAACCCAGGGCCTCAGGCATGCAAGGCAAGCGCTCTACCACCGAGCCACCTTCCCAGCCCGTCTGTTTGTTCTTTTGAGATTGGTTCTCACTATGTAGTCCAGGCTGGCTTTAAACTCACCATGTAGCCTGGGCTGGCCTCAAACTGGTGATCCTTTTGTGTCAGCCTCCTGGGTGCTAGGATGGTACCACTGTATCTAGTTTCTCCATGTGAAAATTGAAATACATACATTCCTCTATATAATTCTATCTTGTATCAAATACTGGGTCTATATCACTTTAAAATTTAAAATAAATAATTAAAAATCAGCAAGGTTTTGCTATTTAACCCTAAGATTTTAGCAATTAAAATGAATAATCTAGTAAAAAAATCAGTAATGTTACTATGAAAATATTATGTACATGGGAGTTGTGGAGTTTTTTTCCTTAGAGGTCAAACATAGGCTCATTTATTAATATCCCAGCACATACAGTGGAAAATAATAGGTAAGAAAAGATTACGGCGGTATGTAGAGAATGATTCTTCCTTTGAATATCATTTCCATGAGCAACAAAGCCTTAAATATTGTCAGGCTATGTGTAAAGAAAGCCAGGCAGAGAAAGAACAAAATTATAAAGCAGAAAGTAACAATGGCCCTGAATTTAAGACTGCAAGTATCTTATACCTTAGGCAGCATTTTAAGACTTTCCTTTGCCGCAGGAAAAGAACAGGAAGGAAAACATATGCCTTATGCCACTTTGTTCTGGTACATATTAACATACCTATTGTTGTTTCGACAATTTCGACAGTTAACACATTCCAGAGGGTCAATCTGAGGGACTGCTGTGTACACTCCTCCACCCTAGTCAGGAAGGAAATGAGAGAGAGAGAGAGAGAGAAAGAACACAAGCTGAATGTCATAGACCACTGGCCAATGAATCACAAATACATGTCCATAATCAATAAGTTCATGGTTCATTTTAGCCAACTCTCTGAGCAATGCTATGCTTCTTATTTATTCTTCACAATATTAAACTGTACTCCAAACACTTTACTACCCTATTTTTCACGCATTTCGGTCCTAGAGAAAGGCAAATAAACGAAGGGAGGAGGTTAGTCATTTCCCTTTAGAGGTTCAAATCTACTGGCTCCCAAAATACAGCACAGATCATAACCTCTTATTCATTTTTTTTTCTTTCTTAGCAGTCATGGAAAAATGTGATGTGATGCTAGTTGGGAGTGACAGGGCGTGAAGTCTGTTAGTATGATGTCACAAACTCATCTCATCTTCATTTTCCTGTAATTATTTCGATTAGTTCTGTTCACTTGACTACACTAAGGTTTAAGACATGTCATATTTTTCCAGATGGAGTTGATTCTCAGCCAGCAGTGACTTGGAGGGCAGTATTAATATTTTGCTGTTGCTTTTGGCGGAAACCGCCTAGCCATTAAAGAAAATGCCCAGATTAACACATACCTCATTGTAAAGTGCTCACTTGATATACAGAACGGCAAATATGAAGTTAAAACTTGAACTGGCCTCAGAGTCAAAGTTCTGCTTGCTGGTGACAAAGAGCAGAAGTGAATTTGATAAGGGTGTGAGAGTTGTCCCACTGCACCCTGACCAGAGGCAGGCCTTCAAGGTTAGGAAAAGTTCAGGCAATTGTTTTCCCTGGAATACTTTCCATTTCCATTCATCTCCTAACAACAGCCAGAATCGGAGCAAACCAAAAGACTGAAATTTGCTCTAGCATTTCTGATCCACGGAGAGAAAGAGTATTCCTATAGTATATGCAATCAGTGAGGGCAGGCTCTAAAGGCTCAGAGAATGAAGAATAAACCCATCTAGCAAGATGGTATATTTATTCCAGCCAGTGAAAGTTAATTCAATGATTTTAATGATCACTGGCACTTGAAAAAAAATGTCCTCATTTTCTCCCACCCAGGAGAGAAGAGTAAGAAAATGAATGGGTTAAAATCACAGATAAGTTCTAAAGTTATATACCTAATAGGGCAACGATTATTGAAATAGCAAGGCATTGTTCAGAAAACACAAAATTCTCTGTTCAAAACAAACATTAGTCTTATTTTGCCTTCTTATGAAACGGCATGTACTTATTCAAACCTTAATGCTTTCTCCCTGACCTTCTCTGATATGTTAGTAGTTTATAGACAGAATTGGTGACCAAAAAAAAAGATTAGAAAGTCTCCTCCACAAAATAATGAAACCATCATTCTCCTTTGGTGATGAAATACATTAAAGCAAATTAGATATTTTTTGTATAACATACAAAAACTCAGTCACATAAAAGCCATAGGTTTCTAGCTTTATGATATAAATCCTTCTATTACAGTTTTGTTTTCCTAAGGCAATATTTTCATAAAATTTATTATTATTATAAAATTACAAAATTTATTAAAATTGAGATTTAAAAAATCACCCTGTAAGCTTCTAATTGTGGGTGAAGGCAAGTTTCTCTGAAGTCAGAACAATGGCAGAAACTAAATGTTTAATTCAACCAACTAAACAAATTATCTATGATAAAAAAATAATGTGGGTTCACATCCAAAGAATATAATTAACTTCCTAGTTCAGAGAAACCTTAAACAGGTATAAGCCTAAAATATACTAGTTATTCTAGTCTCATTTCAAAATAAATAGTGAGTTATCTCTAAAATCAGGGAGTTTTTAAAGGGTTTACCTCTCCTTGTGGCAGCTAAAGAATACTACCATTCTAAAATTGCACAAAACCACTACAACAAAACACACTGTGAAAAACAAACTCAACACGTCTAGATGTCACAATCTGGTAGTTTACAGGGATGTTTTGCATGGTCTACATAACACTGCCAAAACTCTGGGTTTTAGGGTTGTCGCTCAATGGTACAACACTTGGCTACCATGTGGCCTGGCCTGGGTTTGACACTCAGTATAGGGGAAAAAAAAACAAAAACTGGGTTAGATCCCAGCATGTATACATCTGGTAATTTCACCTAGAATTATAGATGTTTTGAAGAATCAGAAAACATAATTATACTGGTCTTCCACCCTGATGGCAACAGTAGGTACTGCATTCTAGCTGCTTCTTTCATAGGGTAACAATATAGCATGCTGCTCTCTTCCAATGGTCTTGTTCTGGGCTGGGAAGGTGGCTCAGTGGTAGAGCGCTTGCCTTGCATGCCTGAGGCCCTGGGTTCGATTCCTCAGCACCACATAAGCAAAAAGAAAAAAGCCGGAAGTGGCGCTGTGGCTCTAGTGGTAGAGCGCTAGCCTTGAGCTGGAGAGCTGAGGGACAGCGCCCAGGCTCAGAGTTCAGGCCCCACAACTGGACCAAAAACAACAACAACAACAAAAAAAAAACAAACCAATGGTCTTGTTCCCAGCTTGCTGTAATCAAGTTTCCCCATCAGCCAGACTTCTCAGCATTTGGGTTTTTAGAATAAACTCCACATAAATAAAATGTCAAGCATCTGGTCTGGACTAGTGGTATTTCTTCTTCATCATGACAAGAACTCTGGACCCGTTTTTCACTGGGATTCCATTTTGATGTTAAATAATTAAAAAATTAGACACCAGGCTAACAAATATAACTATTACCTAATGAGAGCAGAATGATCAAGATTGCTCTGTTCAGGTGCTCATAGTGCTAAATACCATTTGCGTCCCTGTGAACCTGTAAGGTTTCTCCATTGAAAAAAGTCAAGTCTGCTGACCCTGTTCCGGTACCTTAGCACCGGAGGCAGAGCAAAGCTATTATTTATAATCAAGTTTCTTACATTCACTAGATGAGAATGTTCAAACTCCATGTGCGTTCTCGTTAGCGAGTTTGTGTGTGCAGAATAAAGCCCTCCATTTAAATTCCCATTCAGGATTCCATTGACTCCATTAGGGACCTTGTGGTGGAGATGGGAGCAGCCATTACTGAGGTTGCCATTGCCTAGGAAGCCTCCATGGACATTCCCATTGATCCGATTTGTGGGTGAGAGAGTGGTATATTCCACCATCTGTCCATTGATATCTGACCCTTGGTAGAGATATCCTGGTGGATCATATTCTGTTAAGAGAACAAAAGAAATACAAAGTCAAATACTGAAATAACCTCCTTGCTAAGGAAGTTCTATTAATGAAACCCCTAAGAAATTACAAATTACTTTTTTTAAAGCATTCTAGGGCTGGGAAGGTGGCTCAGTGGAAGAGTGCTTGCATAAGGCCCAGAAAAAGCTGGAAGTGGTACTGTGGCTCAGGTGGTTAGCTCTTCTTAACTGAAGAGCTGAGGGACAGCGCCCAGGCCCAGAGTTCAAGCCCCATGAGCAAAAAAAAAAAGAGAAGGCATTCTAAAAAATCTTCCAGCAGTTTTAATAAAGTTACTCTGGTTTTTTTTTTTCTTGACAATGGGGAGGAACCTTGAGTCTGTTATGACTGTTAATAGAAGAAAAATTAACCATAGAAAAACAGTCAATAGGGGCTGGGAAGGTGGCTCAGTGGTAGAGCGCATGCCTTGCATGCCAGAGGCCCTGGGTTCGATTCCTCAGCACCACATAAGCAAAAAGAAAAAAGCCGGAAGTGGCACTGTGGCTCAAGTGGTAGAGCGCTAGCCTTGAGCTGAAGAGCTGAGGGACAGCGCCCAGGCCCAGAGTTCAGGCCTCACGACTGGACCCCCCCCCCAAAAAAAAAAAACAGTCAGTATAGAATGAATAAACTGTAAGTAGATGATATCCAACTACTGGCAATGCTAAGAAAAAGTGCTTCAATCCCTACACACTTCAAAGAACTGACAAAAGACTCTGTTGAACAACTACGAAAGATTAGCTTTAGGTAGCATAGTTTGAGCAGCAATAAATGACACTTTTAAGTAAGAGGAGAGTGCCATGTTCATTCACTAATGACATGTTCAGGGAGCTCTCTAGTCATTACAACCCTCTGGAAGGTGGTGTGCTATCAAAGGCAAAGAACTAGTCTATTTCCTTATATTAAAAGCATTTAAATACATTCTGATTTCCAGAGGTACAACTATCAGATAGATAAGAAATCCTTTGGAAATTACAATACATAAAGTGTACAGGATTTGTTGTCAGGGTTCTGATAAATTCTTCAAAGGTATTAGCAACCACCATGTCTGGCCCTCCTCTATAGCTTCTCCTCCTCCTATGCTTTTCTTCAACAGGTGTGTAATTGTCAGAATATCTGCCTATCTTCTCCATTAGCTTACCTCCTTTGAGAGAGCAAGGCGCATTTTTACTTTATTTATCATCAAAGTCCAGCAAAGTGTCTGGACATACAGAAGAAAACCTTCCTGGAATGAGTGAACAATCTTACAGAAATTTTCCATTTAAAATCATATTTTCAGTGGAGGTGTGGCTCAGGCAATACAACATCAGCCAATGAGTGAAAGTATCAGAGACCAAGTTAGAGTCCCAGTCTCAAAAATCTTTTTAAAATCGTTTTTCAGATCTCTAAGAAGAACAACTTTAACTAGATTCATCTTGCTCAGGAAACAACATTAATACTTTTAATGATTCTCCTAATGATTCATTAAACAGTTATAAGCCTTTCAGCCTGACACCAACACCTCTCTTTCCATCTACCTTTTGGAAACATCACCAAAGCACAACACATCGCTATTTCTCTTGAACTATTAAACACATGTAGAACTGATAGAAGCCACTTCTGGCTTTCTCTTGCATTTCTCTTATTCCTTTATTCTGGGGTCAAAGGGAAACCAAATAACCTTCTCATTGAAGTAGGAAAAAAATCCCACCTTGATTTGACTATCCTACTATATAATAGTTGTGGTGACAGGAAAGGTAGATTATTAGTGTCAAAACAGTGCTAGCATGCCCCCTGCAAGCACACCTGTGTAGATACACTTGCAGAGCATACAGTGGATACAAGGACGGAACTGTTTGTTTTTCCAGCTGTGTCACTCAGGGACAGTAGCTTAGCAACATCTTCATTACTTTACTGTGTTCCTTTCCATCAGGCAATTTCTATCCCCTGTTAACCTTGACCAGATTCCACCAGCATGATGTTCCTAGGTGACTACAGAGCTCACACCTCAAGAACTCATCCACTTTGGTGGTCTGACAAAGCCAGACTGTCCCAGTACCAAGTCAGCTATTTACTTAGAGACCTGTTTAGTTGGGGCGTTTTAGTGTTTGTTTCTACTGGGCAATTTAATTTGATGCTCCACTTCCTTTGGCTGACAGAATTATTTTCAAGTTATTTCCTTGGAATGAAGAGTATCAGACAGGTTTCATACCATGGTCCCTAGTACAAGAAAGTGTTAGGGATCCATATTTATTCTGACAGTAAATTTTTTTTCTACTCCTCATTAGAAAATACAAGGTGATATTTATGAATGGCTCACTCTGTATGGCGTTCTGTTGGCGACTCTTCCACAAGCACATTGCAATGAAGACCATGAGAATGAGAACCATGACACCCAGCACACAGCCAACAATCAGGTACAACATGTCGCTGCTTCTGGCAGGGTTGGTTGCAGGCCCAATATTTCCTCCGCTTCCAGAGGAATTGGGAGGGGTACTCAAGTCCTTCACGGGATACTCAGAAGCTCCAGGAACACGTTTCACTAGTTAAGTATATAAAGAAAACCATGATGTCAGGATGAATACAGAGTCTGTGAGACAGTTTCCTCTCTGAAGGAGGTCTGGCGTAGGAATGTGAACCAGTCTGTTTACACTCCTTCCTGAGACGATCTGATCAACAATGACTCACAAAGATGGCTCCAAAGCTTAAAACTGGATGGTACCTTAGTTTTAGTCCACAGATTTTAGAGCAATAATAAGAGCAAAGAAACAATATACACTTGGTCTAACCCTAGTCTACTGCTTAACTGTATTTGTAGAGACTCCCAAGCAGCTGAAATAAAATAAGCAGCGGAATGAAATCTCTTTCCATCTGATACATTTCGTAGCAAGCCCCAGCATTACATATTCTAGACTCCTACTGTGTATTAAAATAACAACCAATAACAGAAGATATGGCTGTAAACTATCAGTACAACTATATATGATTCCCAAAACTGCATGTATAATATTTGGCATATTCCTCAAAGCCAAGACTTTTGAAGGTCACATATTTGGGCAACTGGGCAATTCAAATTCCAAAATCTACTTAACAAGTGGAACTCAAATCCTATTCTCTCTCTTCCCCAAATACATGTTCCTACTATTCTTCTACATGTTACTTGAAAGCTGCAGGGTGAGGTTCTAGCCTAGTCCCTGAAACCACACTGCTTAGATTTGAACTCAGCTCCATTTGCAACCAGCCATCTACTTTTTACCTCCATAAACCCCAGTTTTGACATTTGGGAAATGAGGACAGTAAAAAGAGTTCTATCAGCAGTATGTCTTCTCCCAAACTCATGTTGCAATCTAACTGTTGTTATGAAAGCCTTAAGAAGGGGACCTCAGAGAGGCTGGTTAAGTCATAACCACTCTAGACGATATGTCAGATTATAAAATTCTAAGGTCAAACCTAAGGAAATCAAAAAGTTTCTGAGGCAAATGGGTCTTCTACATCCCACATGAAAGAACATGATTACTCGTGAGTAAATCCTTTGGAATGATTCACTATTTATTCTTCATTCTTCCTTAATACTCATGTTAAGTTTTGTTAGTATCATAATTCTCAAAATCTCTGCAAGTAGTCAACAAATATTTCTACTCCCTTCATGGAGACAAAGAGAAGGAACATGATTTACTGAATCACAAAGAAATGAATGAAAAGGATTAGTTCTTATGCAGACAATTTTTCAGACATGTTCTAGAGTCGACACATTAAACTTCTATGGGTATAGTCTGAATGCACAAATCCAGCCAATGGTCCAAAGAAGAAATTTCCTTAGGGAGATACATCAACAGTCTGAAGAAGTAATGCAGAGATTAGAATTCCAGCTCTGGACTAGGAAGAAACCACAGATTCGCAACCTTCTGAAATTACCTTTTGTCTCACAGATCATCACGTTGCTGAACTCACTCTCTCCACCTTCATTAAAGCACTGCATTTTGATGTCATAAGAAGTTTCTGGCTGCAGATGACCAATCATGTGCCACTGCTTTGAACCTAGAAAAGAGAAATAAAACCCAGGCTTCACACATCACACAATGTAAATGACAAAGTCAAGGTAATTACTCCATAGGAACAACATCCATCATCATCTATGTAGTGTTGATGGGATAAAGACGTATTTCCTCTAAGCATTTTGTGTGTGTGTGTGTGTGTGTGTGTGTGTGTGTGTGTGCGTGTTGCTCAGAATCTACAAAAAAGCAAATTCCACTAGGAGACACTCAGCTTCTGCTCCCAGTGCTACAGAGCTCAGTGGGTCTTTGAGTCAGGGTCTCCCAGTCACATGAGTATATAACAGAACGATTCTGTTATCCGTGGCACACAGCCAACATTTCATTTAGAAACACTCCCAAACCGAGCACTCTCCATTTTCACTTCCATGGACTTGTGACCAACTTTCATAAACAGGGACAGTTTTTTTTGCCAGATTTAATTAACTCTTCAAGCACTCTTAATCCCCCTTCGAAAACAAGTCTTCAAACTGTTTCTACTGTTTCTTAGAAATTCAAGTATACCACCAGCTGATTTAAGAATTAATTAAAGAGGGAGAAAACAAAACAAAACCACACGCCTAAGTCAAATCTACTTGGCTGGCAGGAGCAGTATCACAGGCTCCTTTCTAATCCAACACAGACAAAAACATTTCAACCCCCTTTCCACATCACCAGCACAGAACCCCTCACTTACACCAACTCCTACTTTATAAGGGAGAAAAAAAATCTGCTTGTTTGAGGATCAAGGGTCTCTACGAGGCTCAAGAAGGGAGGAATTCTATGCCTCATTTATAAAATGTTAAAAGATCCTCCTCCCACCACCATTTTTTTTTAAATTAAAAAACTGGTTGAAACCAGTATAGGCCTATTTCTAAAAATCCTTCCCCCAAAGACTTCTATTTTTACTCTAGCCTTAGGTCTTTCCTAACCTGGTCCTACACTCACCTACTATACACATGCTCTTGAATAATTACTCCACTAGACTTGAAGTTTTCCTTTCATAGTACTAATAAAAATGAAATTTAAACTAGGCTTCTGATCTGTTACCAAGAGAAAATAGTTAAATATATATATGTATACATATATACATATATATATATAGTCAGATTCATATTCCAGTGTTATAACAATTCTTCTAGTGGGTAAAATTGCAGTATATATCAGCCAAGAGAAGACATCAATAAATAAAACAACTAAGTACATTACTAGGCTTAAAAGCAATTAATCCACATATAGCTTCTGCTAAACAAGCAATTATTTCCCCAAAGGACATTCTAGAAAAAGGTCTTACCACAGAAAGAACCAAAAGTACAGATGTAAAACAACATAATGAGCTTTCTTATTTTGACTCATTTGGAACCTTTTAACTTTATATGATAAAAGTATTCAACACAAAAGCATTGGTAGGCTGGAAACATTTATTGTTTACCTAAACATAGGACTTAATTTAGAAGATGGAATAACTTAAATAACTGTTCTTTTACTGCATTCTTTTATAACTGTTTCATTTTTTTGAAAGTTATAATTTGGAATCAAGACATATAAGTATACTAAAAACTTTAAAAAATATTTTAGGTACAAAGAATGAATATTTTTGCTCCTAGGAATAGACCAATAGTTTCAACTGCCACAAAAAGAATTTCAAATGCATAAACGTGAAAATAAGGAATAAGCAAATTATACAGCACAGTGAAACCGACTTAAACATCTTAACTACTCAGCGTATTACATTTGTAAACACGTTCCCTGTGAATCACAGGCAAAATTCACATCTGTAGACACTACTACTAGATACAACAGGACTGTTACATGAATTTTCAAGTCCCAAGCTCAGTATTCAAATCACAGGTGTTAAAAGTTCAAAGATTTTCCTAGACAACATAGTTTAAAGACTGTTTATAAGTGGTAAACCCTAGAGAGTATAACTAGGAAGGGGTGGGGGGAGAGACAGACAAAGAGACAACAAATGAGACGGTTATTTGTTTTATTTATGTTCACCTTGTTTAGAACCATTTTATGACAAATGTTTAACTACTGCCAACATTTAAAAAATATTCTGACACCTTCACTTCTTTTAAGTCAGGTAAACTAAAATGAAGACTTGTATAGGGCTAAAATGCAGCCCAGTCATAAAAATTACTTTTCCATTTCCTTTTAATTTTATTTTTTCTATTTTAAAAAATACATTATTTATTTTATTATTAGTGTATGGATATTACTTGTACAAAGGGTTTTCACCATGTTATTTCCATACATGTATATATAATGTACTTTGACCCAATTTATGGTGTTCCCATGTCCCTTTCATGTTCCTTCTAGTCATTTCTCTGGCTCAAGACCTTGATTTTTTTTTTATTGTGAAAATATTGTACAGAGGGGTTACAATTACATGGGCAAGATAATGAGTACATTTCTTATCAAGCATTGTAGCCTCCTCTTTTGTTTCCCCTTCCCATCCCATCCCATCCTCCCCCACTCCCCCAACCGTTCCCACCCCCCACCAAAGTTGTAAAGTTTGTTTTCGACATAACGACTTGTACATCTCATTGTTGCAATGGGTCCACCTGTATCCCTATTTAAATGATTTGTTTTTTCCCTTCCCCTCCACAAATTATAACAACATCAAATACAGTGAAAGCAGGGGTTATACCGTGGAGGAGGGACATACAAAGCAACAAAGAAATAATCTTATAAATGTGTTAGAAACAATCACCTGAAAGAAAAAAAAAACATTTGAATACATATCTTAGGGTTCATTTCCCTAACATCACCTTATCTGACCTTTTCTGCTTGACTCAGACATATACTAGTTATTGCAAATAAGGGAAACCATGGACCTTGATTTTTTTTTTTTTTTTTTTGTCGGTCGTGGGGCTTGAACTCTGGGCCTGGGCGCTGTCCCTCAGCTCTTCAGCTCAAGGCGAGCGCTCTACCACTTGAGCTACAGCATCACTTCCGGTTTTCTGGTGGTTTATTGGAGATAGGAGTCTCACGGTCTCTCCTGCCCGGGCTGGCTTTGAACCGCGATCCTCAGATCTCAGCCTCCTGAGTAGCTAGGATTATAGGCTTGAGCCAACAGTGCCCAGCATGGACCTTGATTTTTAAGAGCACAAAATAACTTACTCATTAAAAATTATGGCAGGAGAGAAGCAACTCTTACCCCATTCAAAACTATTTACTGAATACCTACTATGTCCCCAGTATAAAAACTGAGATCATAAACTTTTCACACTACAAAAATTATTCCATTGACTAAACATGAAAAAAAACCCTAAAATAAACAAAAAAACCCATAATACTTAGGAAAATATGGCACAGCATATTTAAGGTAAATTATTTTAACAAAAACCAAATGAGGTATGTGATGTCAACAAGTCATATGGAAACTTATCTTGGCCCACAGCAACTTTTTGACATGATCTATTACATTTTTTTTCCCCAGCTGGAAACTAACCCAGGGCCTCCCACATGCTGAGCACTGCTCTACCACCGAGCTACACACTCAGCCAAGACATGGAATATTTCAAAGAAGTAGAATCTTGGAGTGAATAAAAGACCTTGGAGGGTATCTTTCTTTCAAAGCAAGAATCTCATCCAAACTATTACTAAGAATTACACATCTAGCTTCTACTGAACACTTCCAAAATTAGAATCTATTGCTCTGTGAGGAAACCTAGATATCTATGTTAGAAATTTCTTCTTTCCATTATTTCCTTGTACCTTTCTCCAATGGATTTAGCTCCTCTTCCACATAACTGTCCTTAAATATTTGAAGACAGCTATTTTGTTTCTGTTGTCTTTTTTCCACCCTGATCATTACTAGACATTACACTGCTCTTTCGGGACTCCAATCAGATTCATTCATTCATCCACTCATTCATTCATTCAATGCTGAACATCTCACCATTAAAGAGGATGGGGATGCAGTAGCGGAAAAGAAAAAAGTTCTAGGCCCACAGGAAGTGAACACAAGAAGGAGAGACAATAGTTAAGTAAAGAATTTCAAGTATTCACTCTCATACATTTGATTCTACAAAGTAAACAAAAAGGGCTCGCTTTTGGGTGGAACTTCAGGGAAAATTTGTCTAAGGAAGTGACATTTAAGCCCTCAAAAGAACTAAATGGTCGTACCTAGATAAAATGTTAGGAGAGGGGTACAGTAAGTGCCAGGAACTACTATGTACCAAGGTCTTGAGGTAGAAAAGCAAAAACAAAAACAAAACAACAATGTAATCTTGGTACAGGAGGAATCTGAAAGAAAACTGGTATAACCAGTCCCCAATGAGGAAGGTGCAGGAGATGCAGCTGGGGGATGGGGAGGCGGGGATAATAAGGGCCAGCTAGGATGCAGAGTCATTGGACCATATGCAAAACTCTGGATTATAAATGGGGATCATGTCTGTAATACTAGCAACTCAGGAGACTGAGATCTGAGGATCAAAATTTATAGCCAGCAGGAAATATATAGCCAGGACTTTTCTGGAAAGTCCATGAAACTCTTATCTCCAATTAAATATCAAAAAGCTAGAAGTGGAGCTGTGGGTTCAAGTGGTAGAGCACTAGGAGAAAAGTTCAGGAACAGTGCCCAGACCCCTGAGTTCAAGCCCCATGACCGGCATGAAAAAAAATAAAGAATAAATTCTGGATTCTATTTTAAATGCAGTAGAAATCACCTTTTGCTATCTTGAATGCTTTCTTTATTCTCTACAAGAGATTCTAATTTCTACCATAGATGTCAAGGAAAACAGTTTTAATGAGATATTACTGTTAATCATATCTAGAAGTTCAAATTAAGTTTTAAACTTAGCTCATTGGTCATTTAAAGATGACAGAAACCAGGACTGGTCGGTGAATGAAGTCATATAGTCAATGTACATATGTGAAAATAAAACTAGGGAACCTGAGGAGATGGAAAGGGTTGGGACCGATGGAGGAGAATGATGCATAGGGTGACACTGATCAAAATACATTGCCCTTATACAGCGACAGGTTGAAGTGAAACCCTTTGCACAACTATAAAAATGAAATTGAAAAGAAAAAAGAAATCCAAACATTTTTCAGACGGACTTCTGATGAAGCATACTGACCCTTCTTCCCATACTTTTGTAAATGTCTCTATGACAAAAATGTAGGCTAATACTACAGTTAAACTGGAAACAAACTTGGCTTTCTTTGAGACAAACTCAATAGGGTTAATGCATATAGCATTTCATTCCCCCCCCCGCCTCTTTATCTTAGCTGTGATGATGTATTTCATAATGCTTACAAACCCTGTTCTCCAGAGCCCCTTTGTGAGGATCCCTGCTTGCTGAGGGGACTCACCTTCAACCACATCCCTCTTGTAGTCACTGTCATTGTCACTGTCCGTTGGTCGGTAGTAGATATAAAATCCTTGAATGGGAGTGTTATTATTACTTGATGGAATGTACTAAAAAACAGAAGTAAAAACTTGTCAAAACAAAAACTGTACTCACTACCTGACTCATGTAATTGTAATCCCTCTATACATCACCTGTATAAGAATAATAAATTAATTATAAGAAATTTTTTTTAAAACCCAAAAGAAATAATATTTTTTCTATAGTGACATGGTCCTAGCTTCATTTTGCAAGCATATTTAATGGCCATTTTTAACTTCATTCAAAGATATTTAAGGGTATTAAGGGCATTTTCTTTTACTGCACGGTTAAACAAAAATAAAGAAGTATTTTTGTGAATAAATAAAATACTAGAGTATATACTTTACTAGCTTCAAAGAAAAACATCTACTTGGTTCATAATGAATAAGCCACAAAATGGCAATTAAGTTAACAGCATTTGGATAAGAGTAGAGGAAACAATAATTGTATTTTTTAACCTGCCCCCTTTTAAACATGTGCTTTTGGATAAATTGATACCCTTCTACTTTAGCTCAATGAAAAGTTCAATAATTGGTTGTTCATAGTATCATTTCATGGGAGAATATGAAGTTGTTGATGTGACCAAGCCAGAAAGAATTTTCATTAGAAAACAAGTTTACGTACCGTCCATTTCAGCATGATCTGGGTATCACTGACAGCCTCTGTGTATGCAATGTGCGGTCCAGTTATGGGGCGGTTGGAAAAACGATTGGGGAAACCAGCCACCTGGTAAGGCCGGGATGCTGAACTCCGAAAACTCTCACCGTAATGGTTGATAGCAATGACCCTAAATTTGTATGTTGAACCTTTAGGAGGAAAACAAACACACACAAAACCCCTCACATTATTATAAAAAGCTATAATCATGACTGGTGATACAGCTCCATGATAGAGCACTTGCCTGGCATGTGCATGGTCTCAGATTTGATTGTTAGCATAGGAAAAAAGAAAGAAGCTATACCATGATATATGATGGTAGGATATTAAACTATGATGATTATGTTTATATTTCTCTTACATATTCTCCTACAGCCAATGGATTTGAACCTACTTGCTAACTTCAATCAACTGGGAGTAGCTGTTCAATGCTTTGTGTTCAAGACCTTAAAGGAAATATATGCTATGTAAGATGAATGGTACGCATGGAAGGCGCAGGGAGAGAACAGGAAAGAGATCATTCATTCTTTTTGCTATTCCATTCCAAATCATAATTTGAAGTAGTTTGAAGTATCTGTCTCTAAAACTAGATTCTTTTCACTTTGAAAGAAACAACTGGAGTGAAGTTTAATGTGTTGAATACATGTATCAAGAGGTACAGCAAGGGTGGTAGCAGTCACCATCCTGATTCCAAAGAGGACTGTGAGGAATCAGATTTGAACGATAACACAAGGAATTAATTCGGCTTAGACATTAAGAACTAAAGAAAGGCTACAGACAATTCGTGAAAAATCTAAAGAATAAATTAAAAATACTAAAGGAAGTTTCCTTGTCACTAGGCTTCTGAAGACATTGTCTGTCGATATCATGTTACTTCATTTCACCTACATTTAAAACTTCTGCCTTCATTCTCCCACCATACCTAGGCATTCCCATGTTTCTCTTGTTATCTGGTTACCTGGCTAGAAAAACACAGGCCTTGGCTAGTAGCATACAAACCTAAGTCCAGAAACAAACTTTAGGATCTTCTGCTAAAATAAAACTTATAGAGCCAACAAGTATTAAGTGCATCCTTTCTCTAAGACAAAGCACTGGCTCAACTGCTGAGAATCAAATAGTTATAGCCAAATAACCATTTTTCTCTTAAAATGTTCTAGGACAACATATTTGCGCGCGCGCACACACACACACACACACAAAGATGTTCACCATGTAACTGCAAATATGTAGACGTAATTTAAAATCTAGAAATGAAGAACAGTTTAGGATAAGGTTGTAGCTTAATGGTAGAAAGCTTGCCTAGCCTTCACTAAGACCCTGGGATCAAAACCCAGCACCTCCGCAAAAAAAAAAAAAATCATGGTTAAAGTAGACATGTAACTATTAAAGACTGAGTTTTTGAAGCATTTTAAATGATCTGGAAAATACATATGATATAATGGTGGGGACACAGTCATAGTCAATGTACATTATGTAAAAGTTGAACTATGTAACTTGGGGGAGAATGATAGAAGGGATGGCATTGATCAAGATGCACTGTACTCATGATCTCACTTGTAGAATTACAACCTCTTTGTACAACTATTAGGATAAATTAAAAAAAAATAAAAACAATAGTTTTCATGGCATGATTTCCTGGGTATACTAAAGGGTTAAAAGAAATATACCAAAATATATAAAGGCTAATTGGTCTAGAAAGGTGAATTTCAGATGACTTAGTCTCTTCATCATATTTTAGTTTCAAATTTTTATGTAATAAACATTACTTTCTTTAACAAGTAGGAAAAGAAATAAGGCCATTAAAATATGCAACTAAAGTTAGCACTGACAGTTAACATTTTAAAAAGGAAAGAAGAAAGGAAATGTTTGTGTATCTCTACCTGGTTCTAAACTACGAACTTCCACAGAGAGCTTGGAAGGCGGGATATCTTCAGCTGCCACCAGCCAATCGCTGGTCCTCATCCGTTTATATTCGACCTTGAAGGCGGTGATTGGAGAACCGCCATTTGCCCGGGGAATCCAAGTGACATAGACTGAGGTCTCAGATGCAGTGGAGATTGTGGGTCGATCTGGTGCCTCTGGAACTGAAAACACAAATGCATTGTTTTCACATAACTCACAATGTCGGAGGGAAGAAGACTGAAATGCACCTTAAGGGCTAAATCCCAAAGCTTGTGTTATTCGTGGTTCCTCACCAAACATTTTTCCAGAGGTAATAATATTTGACTCTCTTCCTGTCCTCTGTTGAAAACTAATGGGGAAATGTAATCAAAACACAGGAAATGCAAGGAAGGAAAAGTCAAATGATTTAGAGACTTGATAATTAGCTCTGAAAGACAGAACGTTAATGACTGTGGTAATTAATGACTATGCTCTTTTGGAGTCAAGATTAAAACAATGTGTCAGTATGATTTGGTGCTTCCAATCTGATTTTGCTTATAGTTGTAATAAATTCTTGCAGTTATGTGTTATCTTATTTAAATGTTTTTCTTTGTCCCAACTACATAAAACTCATTTCGCAATCTGTTGATTATTAACTTAGCCATTACTATTATATCCTACTTCAATATACTTCAAGGATATGGGAATTATTAGTCCAAAATATAGATGGCAAGCAATAAGATAACATTTGTCTGATTAAAATTATTATTATTATTATTATTATTTTTGGTCAGTCGTGGGGCTTGAACTCTGGGCCTGGGCGCTGTCCCTCAGCTCTTCAGCTCAAGGTAAGCACTCTACCACTTGAGCCACAGCGCCACTTCTGGCTTTTTCTGTTTATGTGGTGCTGAGCAATCAAACCTCATGCATGCAAGGCAAGCACTCTACTACTGAGCCACCTTCCCAGCCCTAAAATTAATATTGATACTAAAGGGAGGAGAGAATGTGCTCGGGATGAAAGCAAGAAGACAGGAAAGGCAGGAAAGATGATCCACATGACTACATAGGAAAAATCTGAGTTAGGGAACTTGCTTTAGTTAGCAACTTGAAGGGGAAGAGATGCTACAGTGTTCAAATTGGAGTGGCAGGTGGGAACATCAGGAGTAAACTCTCTGAGATCACATATTCAACAACTCTTGCTGATCAAGCAATATGGCTTCCCACTTGGTTGCTGAAAGGAAAAAAGGCTGACCCACAGGACTGTTACATTGCAAGCTAGTAATCTGCCATTCTAGTTTGCCTTACTCCCTAGTGAGTTCTGTAAATGTGAGCTGGTTCTCAAAAGGCTGATGATCCTTTGGTGTGCTGGCAATTGACCTCTAAAGCTGGAACAGGAAGAGCCAACCTGGGCCACAGTGATCTGGCTTTTGTGAAGCCACTAGAAGGAGCTTTGCCTGTATCTAAGCCTTGTTTCTTAAGCAACATGCTTTGATCTCAATATCTCTTCAATTCTCATTATAAACATATTAGAAAGACGGAAATGATGGTGAACAAAGTACTCAGACGAAGAAAACTGAGGTGCAAACTGCTTAGAGGATGTATTCAAAACAGGTAACTGTGATACTTACTGCATTCCTTTCAATTAGAAAGCAATGGAAACAGAATAAATAGAACTGTTAGTGCATCTCTTTTTAAAACCAAATGAGTTCCTTTGAGCAAGAAAGCCAAGCAAGAATACAAGGCCCTGAGTTCAAGCCCCAGGACAAGCACACGCGCGCGCGCGCGCACACACACACACACAAATACTTTTAAATCATACAAAGCATATTAATTCTAGAACTAGTAAATGTGGAATTTAAATACAAAAAAAGAAGTCCTGAAATTTCGACTGCTCTAGCATTTAAAATCCATACAGCTTACTAGATAGTGTCATGTGAGTGAATGGGACATGTACTCTTCAGCAAAGTAATTTATCATTGGTATTAACATATATTCTGATGAAGTCACACACAGGCAAAGTTGGAATTCAAAATATAAACTTAGTTTTCTTGTCAAAGAGGAGACAGAAAAACACTTTTAAAAAATGATTGTGAAAGACTTAGTAGCAGAACATTTTGAATCTGAATTTATTATGTTAAATACTGTGACTGAGTTGCCAACGTTGAAATCCAGGACATTAAAAATGGTTGAAAAGGACTACAAGAGGTATCTGACAGGATGCAATTTAAATAGCAAACATCCTCTTCTATCCTATCTCCCTGAAGTCTGAAACCTTGAAACAGGGCCTTTATACTTATAAAGAAACAAGATGAATAAAATGAAGACTCTTTTCTTTACCTCCACTGTGCCTAGAGGAATCGGTAAGAACTACTCCAAAATTGTTGTTTGCAACCTCTGAAATGACAGGATGTTTAGGGATGCCCATGGGTGGAGAGGAGGCCTGGGTGTTTTTTGCTGATGGTGTTTTTTCTTTAAAAAAAAAAAAAAAGAAAGAAAAGTTGAAAACCAAAATGGCAACATAAGCCTAGATATGTAAAGTTAAAATAAAGAGTCATTTATAGACAGATAGAATTCACCAGCATCTAAATCAACTAACTACACTTAAATACTTACCTGAACTTTGGAACTGACAAAAAAAATCACTTCAGCTTTTTTCTAGTATCTTTAGGGGAAAGGCAAAAATGTGCCTTTCTTCATCATACCAACTTTTGTTCATATGTGGAAAAGGAAAATGACTAGAGTGAAGGTTTCCAATGAGCTCATTTTCCTTTACTGTATAAATTCTAAAACAGCATTCATTACTAAAGTGTTTCTCTTAAGCATTTTCAAAAAATGTCACATTAAGCTTTAATATTTCTATAGGCAAAAAGTGAAATTGGACAATTTTTAAAACAGAAATATACCTATTCAGTATTTATAGGTCAGATTTTATTAATAACTAATGACTGATGGTGGAAATTATCTAAAGATGCACTGGAAATTGCAAGCACTCATTATTTCCTGGTCAGATTTACAGATTTAGCATTGGATAAAAGGGTCTTAAGTCATTAGATAATTTCTTCTCATTCCACAGACCTCTTCTATTACAGTGTCAAACTAAAATACTCTTCTAGCTGGTTCCCATCTCCACCCACCAAAGCGGTTTGATTTTGTTCATTTCCCACCAAGCTTCAATAGCCTCTTCAATTCCGCCTCCCTCACAGGCTTGCCCACAGGAAAATCCTTTTAGAAGTTTCTCAAAGTGCTTATTATATTCCTATATCCACCAGTACCACACTCTCCTATTAGAATACACAGGTGTCCATGTCACACTTTGCTCAGATGCTCCAGCTGTCCTAGCTCACTCAGAGGCTCTGCTAAGGTCTTTACAAGGTCCACAGTGTATGATGTGACTATCTACCCTCTCACCCCCTCCTTCCAATACTCCTCCTTGACAGCTCCCCACTTACCTTGCTCCCACCACAGTGGCCGCAATAGCGTTCCTAGGTTATACATTAAGAACACACTGCTTTGAAGCCTTGGTATTTGCTGTCTTCTGCTGGGGACATTCTATCCCTGAACAGCCATATGGCTCTCTTCTTCCCCTGCTGTATATCTGCTCAGTTGGACACTGGGACTTCCCTGCCCACCTGCTCAAAAGGCAGCAATGCCTGAGACATTTCCTATATCCTTCTCCTAATTTATTTTTCTTAACACTGTCTGCTAGTATACATATAACAAAGGCTTACATGTCTCCCACATAGAATGTGAGCTCCATAAGAGTTTTGTCTATTCTGTGTACTTTGTGATAAAACCTGGAAAGTATTCAGTTAATACAAGAACCGTATTAAAGTTTCTCTTGGAGTTGGTTTCCAAGTGTACTTCTTACCTTCCTCATCAAAGTAGGTTTATTACCTAAGAATCTCTAGTATCCAAAAGCATTGTTAACCATCTTAACATCAGTACAGGCATCGACTGATGGAAGATGATACTCACCTTTGCTGGTCCGGAAAGTAAGCATGGCGGGCTGTCCTTCACCTGCTGCACTTCTTGCCACCATCAACACTTCATAAAGACTCGATGGCTCCAGTTCTGTTAGATGCAGCTCATTTTCACTACCTGGGACCCGAACTGTGTGCCAGCTTCCCACTGCACCAGCACCATCCTCCAGCTGCTCAAGAGAAACCCCAGAACAGGGGGAGATGGAGGGAAGCTTAGAAAGATTCCTTTTCAAAGATGAGCTGGGGGTGGTGGCACCTACCCATCAGCGTAGTTACAATGGGAAGCCTAAAATAGGCAGATTGCAGCCCAGATTATATATGCCTAGACAGGAAGTGTGGCTCAGCTTACCTGCCTGGTAAGCTGAGACCCTGAGTTCCACATTAACACTCCCCCACCCTCCCCAAACTAGAATTCAGTTAATTCTAGAAAAGTTTTAAAATGTGACATATCATTGCAAATAAGAGACACAATGGACAAACAGAAGGAACAAGAACCCAATAATGAGTAAAAGAGGAGGCATTACCTTTCGATACTTTACAAAATAGGCATTGATGGGGAGTCCGCCATCCTTCCCTGCCCTCCACACCAAATTGTATGTGTCTGGTGTGTGGGTCTGTGGGGGGCTCAGTATGATGGGAGCATCAGGAACAGAAACGCCAGTAGCATTTTTCTCTGATGATCCCACTGCACTGGAATGGATGTTCCCTGGAAATGAGCTCAGGAAGGCAGAATCAGAGCCATCTCTTTGGTCTCTTTCATCATTTTGGGAAGCTTCAGAAGGTTCAACTGTTGCTGCTTTTGTATTTGTTTCAAAAGGAACTGGAGAGACAGAGGAAAGAAAGAGGGAGAGAAATTGAAGAAACTCTATTTCATATCTTCTACCCAGATGGTTTAGATAGGAGTGTCCATGCTGGTTTTATAAGCACAACATGAGCCCTGGAAGTTTAAATAGCTAACACTGAAGTGCATCACTCACAGCAGCATCCAAACCTTTCTCACACGGTGCTCCTCAGGGAGACAGGAAAAGGACTTAGAAAACCAGTTAGAGCATGCAGTAATTGAGTAGCTTAAAGGTTTTTATTTTTTCTGTGCTTTCTAGAGCAAGAACCATGTCAGGAGAGTGAGGTTTTTTAAGTCAATTTTTTTAATTACCACATATTAATTGTAAAAAGGGGGTTCATTGTTCAGGAGATCTTAAGTTGAGGAACAGCAACCTGAACTTCCAGCTAGTAAGTAAAACACAATGGGTACTACATGCCATGGTGAACCACTTGACAGAGGTAGTAGGAACATAGTCAAGAATTACCATTCAATGACTACCAATTGGGTAGTCAGTCTCCAAAGATACCTCCTAAGAATTCACACTCTTAGAAAATCCAGAATCTAGACTTAGGCCTTAAGAAGACCTAATTCTTGCACTTCTATTTGTGCTCTGGGAATCTGACCACCCCATAGACATGACCCAGCTGGTCATGGGTACAGATTATCAAGAAAGAGAGTTCAGTTGCCACAACGGTGCCACAAGGGACTGAAGCTATTGTGCTATTCTTAGTGCTAAGCAACCTGTGGAATTACTGACCTCAAGCAAGGCCAGAAGAAGGAAGTTGTATCTAGTAAACCTTCAGGATCACAGGAAAAGATAAAGAGGTTATGGTTTAAGTCACTAATCTTTTGAGTAGTCAGCATTCAGTTCTAGTTACCCTACCTCCAAAGACATCTACACAATGATCTACCTTCAAGGAAAGTGGGGTAGGGGTGGGGGTGCATGGGAATCAAAGCTAACAAGAGTAGCTGAGAAAATGGTGTGGCTTACATACCAAAGATGACAGGGCCTATTCCCAAGTCCCTCCCCTACCCCCTGCCAGAATTGAAAGATGGTGAAGAAACTGCTGGGGTATAGATGGAAGTCAAGCAGCTTGCTCCACGAGCTCTAACTTACCTCAGACAGCATACTGCGTATGCAGAGCAAGGTAACAATAACTTATTTGCATTGAAAACAGGTTCATATATCCAAAAAAATTACTGAGCAAATATTTTGTGTCAAGCATGGTGCAAGTTGTTTAATAAGCATAATCTCATTTAATTCCCAAAACAACACTCTTAGGTAGAGAGTAATATGTCTTCCCACTTCACAGATGAGGAAATTAGGGTTCCAGAACATTCAGTGACAACAGCTGTGAGAAGAATGTTAATAGCTCTGCCATGAATAAAAGAAGGAGAACAATTGTGAAAACAAATACTGTGCCAGCATTAATAAAACCCAAGGACTGACAGCTCAGTCTCTCTACCACTATTAGTTCTGGCAATGCAAAGGTCTCCTATTATCCACCCCTCTGAGGAAGAAGTAAAAGGAAGAAACAATGAGGTCAGATTCCTGGTAAAAGGTGGGTGTGATTTTTGGGAGAACTACTGCCCAACAAAAACCAGATGCACAGAGGTCAGTTTTCTGTTAGTTTGAAAGAGAGAAAGTCTCAGAAGCATCCTCTATCAAAGAAAACATGAAGCTAGTGAGAAAAATAATGCGGAAGAGAAGGAATTAAGTTCACTGAGACAACTTGAAAATATTGCTCCTGGAACGGGCGTGTTTACCCAGTGAGTCAGACATGGAGCGAATGTTCGGGCTGATCTGATGCCTGCTAATGCAGAGCGTGGACGCTCACCACTGGGGAGTCCCAGTCTGGGGCCTGAGGAAGAGGGGAAGGTACTTTGTGTCATTCATAGTGATACCTGGCCACAGAAGGTTCCATGCCACATGCCTCAGGTTACACGGAGGTGTAAGAAAATTTTCATTCAATAGACTGTCTACTGCAAGAGCATTAAAACTTCATCTCAGCTGGGCACCAGTGGCTCACAGCTGTAATCCTAACTACTCCAAAGGCTGGGATCAAAGGATGGTAGTTTGCAGGCAGCTCAAACAGGAAAGTCCATGAGACTCTTAAATTAACCAGCAAAAAGCTGGAAGTGGAGGTGAGGCTCAAGAGGTAGAGTGCCAGCCATGAGTGAAAAAGCCAAGCAAGAGTTCAAGGCCCTGGATTGAAGCCCTAGTACCAGCTTGAAAACAACAATCACAATAAATGCACTCCATTTCTATTATTCTAGGTGCAATGCAACCTTTCAATGACAACTTTTAAAAAAAAAAAAAAAAAAAAGAGAGTCAATTAATTGCTACTCTTCCAATCTGAGTCCTCACAAGATAACCAGATACCATTCTAAAGGTTTTACCAGCACATGTACTCTTCAATTTATGGTGATGTGACATCCCAAAAAACGCATCATAAATTGAAAATGTTGTTGAGAATGCATCTACTAATCCTAAACTACTGAGCATTGTCACGTAGCCACACAGTACACTGCCCCTTCTGGTACAATGGCTGTCTGGGAGCTGGGGGTCACAGCCCCTGCCCAGTATCGCAAGGGAGAATCACAGCTCTTCTCATTAGCACAGGGAAAGATCAAAATTCATGACATGGTATGAGTATCACTTTCCCACCATTGTTTCATGTCACAAATGGAGAAGTCGAAGCACTGTTAAGTTGAACTTTCAAAAGTAGCTTCCTATGTTTCATTCCAACTTATCTACAAAACAACACTGAAATGGACAGAATCCTAGGTTTTTGAATTGGTGAAACTGTGACAGTTCATATTGGTCTCTCACACTACTTAAGAAACCCAGATCAACTCCCATTGTGCTTCTGAACAGACAATAACTCATTCCACAAATATTTGTATATCTGGGACCTCAAAAACTCAAGGATTCTGGAAAGGAAAACAGAGAAGGAAGAAGTTGCCTTTCTCTGGGACCTTGCTCACTCTCTCTTTCACAATAAATAAGTAACCATCACTAGGCTAGAATTTAATAAGACAAAGAACTCCTGAGTACAGGACAATGTGTTGCTATATACTTCTTTGTGCTTTAGCAAATTCATCTGGATCTTAGCGCTTGCCATAGAGCATGTAGAAGTTAACACAGGAACATGTAGGTAGAATGTAGCTGATAGGGTTACTGGGCATAAAAGTGGTATTTATCAAGACAAAATCCAGAAACAGAAGAGAATCTTAAAGACCTGAAGATTTTCTAATCTAAACCAATTAAGAAGCTGGGCACGGGAGGCTCATGCCTGTAATCTTAGCTACTCAGGAGGCTGAGATCTGAGGATGCGGTTCAAAGCCAGCCTGGGCAGGAAAGTCCTTGAGACTCTTATCTCCAATAAACCACTAGAAAACTGGAAGTGGCGCTGTGGCTCAAGTGGTAGGGCGCTCACCTTGAGCTGAAGAGCTAAGGGACTGCACCCAGGCCCACTTTAAGCTCCACGACCAACCAAAAAAACCAAAACAAAACAAAAACCAAATTAGGTAATATAAGTTCTAATAAATAATACTTTAATAGCTTTGAGAAATAAAAGCATTTACCCCAACAACAGTTGGGTTATATTTTGAGCTAGTTCCCAAATCAGAGCTTTCTATTGGACAGACACAACCTTAATAAACCTGTCAGCAATAGAGACCAAGATCCATGACTTAAGTATGGCAAAATACCCCAAAGTGCAGTTCTATATTACCTAGTCACAGGGAAAGATACATTTAATTAGAGATTGCTGCACAGATTAAAATAACTATTTCAGACAAGCACTGGTGGCTCATGCTTGTAATCCTACTTACTTAGTTCTGAGGATCACAGAAGGAAGCCAGCCAAGGCAGGAAAGTCTGTGAGACTCTTATCTCCCATTAATCAGAAAAAGTAAGAAATGGATGTGTAGCTCAAGTAATAGAACATTAGCCTTGGGCCAAAAAGATAAAGGTTAGAGCTCAGGACCTGAGTTCAAGCCCCAGGACTGCACAAAATAATAACAAAATAAAAGCAAATAACTATTTCAAATCATCTTTTCCCCTGAGTATTAAAGGTCATTATTCCATTGAGGGAAAAAAAAATACTGGTGCAACTCACCAATGGTGAGAAACGCTTCTGACTGTGTGGTGCCATGCTTATTTGTGGCTTCACAGATGTATTTCCCAGCATGCTCCTGAGTAACCGCCTGAATAGAGAGGGAACTTGAGCCAGCTCGGGACATGATGAAGTAGACAGGCTCCAGGTCAAGACCTCCAGGTCTTAGTAAGTGGGACTTTCGAGTTTTAGACCTAAGGACTTGAGACGGATGGCTGGTTATCAATCCCCGACTGCCATACCAACGTATGACTGGAACTGGCACTCCAGTGGCATTGCAGGACAAAGTAACAAGGTCTCCATCTACCACCTTTGCACTTGCTGGCCCTGTGATTATAACTGGCTTGAATCCACTGTCTATTAAAAAAAAAAAGAATCCATACACCAACAGTTAGGAACATTGTGGTATCTACATTGCAAAGCAATTTCATACTAGTATAGAAATGTGGTAGTAATTATTAGAACAAAGATATCTCCCTTCCTATTAGCTCCCTTGGTGGTCTTCACCAAGTAAATTCATCAATGAAAAATAGAAAATTTCAAATCTGCACTTTGGTGGCTCATGCTTGTAATCCCAGTTACTTGGAAGGCTAAGAACAGGAAGATCACAGTTCCAGGCCAGCTTGGGAAGAAAAGTCCATGAGACTTCATCTTAAGGAGAAAGATGGCAGGTATGGTGTATATACCTGTCATCCCAGATAATACAGGAAGTCGAGAATAGGTGGCTCAAGGTCCCTGGGCACACCTGACTAGGAAGTAAGACCCTATCTCAAAAGTAACCAATGCAACTGGGAGAGAGAAAGGGAAGGGGGCACATTGTGCAAAAAGACAAGTACTCACTACCAGACTTACATAACTGTAACCCTCAGTACGTCACTTCTATAATAACAATATAAAAATTAAAAAAAAAAACAAATGCAAAAAAGGGTTGTAGGCTTGGCTCAGTGGTAGAGGGTCTTACTGGTGAGCAAAATGAGTTCAAACCCCAGTTACCGAAAAAAAAAAAAATTGTAATGGTGAACTACTAGGCATGGCCTTCAGAAGATTTCCCATTCTTCAGAAAGAATGTACATTTAAAAAAAAATCTAGGCTGCAGATGTGGCTCAGCAGTAGAGTACTTGCTAACAAGTATGAGGCTGAGTTCAAACCCCAGTCCCACCAAAAGAAAAGAAAATCTAGAATTTTCCAATAAATGTATGATACATATTTGACTACTATAAACGTTTTCTCATATTATTTACTGGCACTACTGGGATTTAAACTCAGGGCCTTTTGTATCCTAAGTAATCATTCTACCACTCGAGCCATACAACTTTGATTGCTATAAATACAAAGCGAGGAAGCCATGATCTCAGACCTTGGCATAAAAAAAAAAGGTATAAAAGGTATACAACTAGATAATATTCCTTCAGTATGGTCAGTTCTGAAGGAATCTGATTATAACGTTTGGAGAAAAATTGTTTTAAAGAAAAGTTGATGAATCATTGTATGAATCATGATTTGCTTCTAAATTAAAATGGCATCAAGTCTTGTGGTGCTAATATTCTTTGGAGATATTTTCAAGTGAGCACACAGTGGTATATTGATCAACACAAAAGGCATTTCCTCCAGCATGTCTCTTTCTCTAGACGAACTTCCCATGTAGGATGAAGCCAACCCACATATGATCTTATCAGACTTCTGAATTTTTGCTAAGTGAATGCGTGTAAAATACTGTCTCACTAGTCACAACATGAATTTCCCTGAGTACAAATCAAGTAGATTATCTTCTCACATGTTTAAGTGCTGTTCATATTTTCTCTTCTTAGTGAAATGTCAATTTTTCTATGGGAATAATTTAACTTTTTTTGCTTTTGTAAGACACTTCACAGTTTTTTGTACCTACCAGACACTATTCTGTTTAGCTATGCCTGTTACCAGTATATTCTCCTAATTTATTGTTCCTCTTTTCATTTTTAGAAGCTTTTTTTTTTTAAGGAGGATGTTTTCATTTCAACATAGTCATAGTTTCAATTAGCCTTTGTTTGGTTAAAAAGTTTTACTTAGCTGAGTGCAGGTGGCCCATGCCAGTCATTCTAGTTACTTGGAAAGCTGAGATGAGCTCAGCTTCAAGGCCAACCTAGGCAAAAAAGATTGCACGAGCATTGCCCAACACAGTAGTTCACACCAGTCATCCCAAACTAATGTGGGAGGGTAAGGCTGGTAGGATTGTGATTCCAGGCAGAAAAGACTCCATCTGTACAGATGGAAGCTGGATGCAATGGTATGTGCCTGTTATACCAGCATTGAAAGGAAGCCTAAAGTGGGCAGATCTGAGTCCAGACACACACCCTGGTGGGAAGCAAGACCCTACCCTTAAAATAACAAATGAAAAACAGGGCTAGAAGTGTGGCTCAACTAAGCTGGCAAGCTTAAAGCCCTGAGTTCCAACCCTAGTATTTCCAGGAAAAAAACTTAAGTGTTACCTACCACCTACAGCTCATATTCGCCAATATTTTCTTGATTTTTTTTTTGTTTTTGTGTTGATCTATTTAAAATCTCTAAACCACTGGAACTTATCTTTGTTTACCCAGTGATTTAATTTCTTTTCCCTCATTTTGATAACCAATTATCCCACATCAAAACTTGAACTGACATCCTCCCCCTGGCGATCTCCCATAGCAGCTCAGTCAAGTTCTTGCATGTAAATATATCTTCGGCAATCTCTATCTTGCTCCAAGAGTCTATTTGTTCCTATACCAATAGAACACATCTGAAATTACTACTTTCTTTTTTCAACTGCTTAATTCAAATCTCTCATGTTCTTTTCCTTATTTATGTGTCTTATTTATGACTAGTATCTGATTTATCTACATAAATTTTAGAATCAGTTTTTTTGGGGGGATTATCAAAATATTCTGCTGAGATTTTGATTAGAATAGCTTGAGTTTAAAGACATTTTTTGAAAAGATTACATCACTGTATAAAATCAAATTTTCCTCACTATAAACTGGAATATCTTCCCATGTAACTGGTTCTGCGTTAATCTTGCTAATATAAAAAGTGATAGTTTAGTGATATTTTCTGTTTATTGTTGGTATATAAGAAGGCAACTGATGCTTCTTGATCTTTATCTCACCCTTTGATAAACATTATTATATCTGATAATAAGATATATAATAATAATAATAATGGCCAGCCCAACTTTGGATATTCTAGGATGGCAATCCTATCAGCTGTAAATTAATAATGATTTGGGTTATTTCTTATTTCTCTTTATATTTTTATGCTGGTGATGATCTTCAGGTCAATGATGGCTAGAAGTTTTAAGGGGTGTGAATTGCACATTTCTCCACTGAAAGTTATCTTCCATATAAGTTCGTATTAAATGGCCTTTATGAAATAGAAGTTTCCTGAGAGTCTAACTTGCATACTCAATTATGTTCCAAGTTTTACTATCTCTAGTAAGATAAGCATGGTTTTTTTCTCCTTCATTCAATTAATATGGTGAATGATGTATTAACTTTTCTGACAATTTCTGGAATTTCTGATAAAGATGTATCTTTCTATACATTTCAGGCTCATTCATATTTCACTAGTGGATTTTTTTAACCTATGTCCATAAAGAAGATAGGCCTCTGATTTTCCTTTCTTGTACTATCCTTTTGTGATTTGGGCATCAAGATGATACTGACTGGAGACATTCCATCTTCTTTTCTCTGGAGGCGCTGGGTAATATTTGGAACACTCTATTACTTTCAACTTCCATAATCTCCAGAAAACCATGTGGCCTGGTGTTTTCTTTGTGGGAAGGTTTTTTTTTACTCCGAATTCAATTTCTTTCATAGTGATATGAACAGTCAGGCTTTTTATTTATTTTAAGTCAGCCTTACCAAGTTTTTTTTTTTCTCAGAATTTGCCCATATTATAGTTTGGATCTGGCCCATGTGTGGAAGGCTTGTTATGCCACTGGGTGGGGGATGAGACCTTTTAAGGGAGGTAGGGCCTAATAGAGGAAGTTGAATCCTGATGGGACATGTCCTTGGGGGTGACACTGGAACCCTGATCCCTTCCTGTCTCTCTCTGCCTCCAAGCCACCATGAGGTGAACAAACCTCCTCTACCACATGCTCCCACCAAGTGCTGTCACGTGGTTCAAAGCATGGGGCCATGTGACCTCTGAAACTATAAGCCAAAATAAGGCTTCCCACTTTTCTAAATTGACTATCTCAGGTGTTTTGTCACTGACTGACACTAGTGATTTACACTTGTAAACTATTGTCATAAAAGAAAAAAAACAGGGGCTGGGAAGGTAGCTCAGTGGTAGAGTGCTTGCCTTGCATACATGAGGCCCTGGGTTCGATTGCTCGGTACTACATAAGCAGAAAAAGATAAAAGTGGTGCTATGGCTCAAGCAGTAGAGAGCTAGCCTTGAGCTGAAGAGCTGAGGGACAGCGCCCAGGCCCAGAGTTCAGGCCCCATGACTGACAAAAAAAAAAGAAAGAAAACATTCTTTCATGTGCCATAGGGGAAGATATCCAAAGTACATGCCAGGTGAAGATCTTAAGGGATGGATTCTACCACCATTTATGTAAAAAATAAGGCATTATTATAAAAATGAATATATGCACACACATGTGATGAGTGACTGCTCAAATGTGCATATACACAAATATTCAAGAAACTCATAAAACCAATTCATTTGGTGGTAGACCATCAGCCAGTGAGCAAAAGCATCAGATACCAAATTCAAGACCTGGCCTTGGACAAAAACTAACAACAGGGGCTGGGAAGGTGGCTCAGTGGTAGAGCGCTTGCCTTGCATGTCTGAGGCCCTGGGTTTGATTCCTCAGCACAACATAAGAAAAAAGAAAAAAGCCGGAAGTGGCGCTATCGCTCAAGTGGTAGAGCACTAGCCTTGAGCTGAAGAGCTGAGGGACAGTGCCCAGGCCCAGAGTTCAGGCCCCATGACCGGACCCCCCCCAAAACAAACAAACAAACAAACAACAACAACAAAAAAGTTCTAAAAAAGACACCAGACTGGCTGTGGAATAGGAGTAAAATATGTGCTTTTAAAAACTATGTGGTATCTGTTGAAATCCATTTTTCTAAAATGGTTCTATGTTAACTTTTCACTGGGGGGAGAGGGGCGGTAGGTTCTAGAACCCAAGGCCTCACATATGCTGGGTAAGTGCTCTGGCTGAAATCCAACTCCAGTCTAAAAACTAATCTTGTCACAAGCTCAATTAAGCAAGATGGTTTCCTAACGGAAAGGCCTATCTGCCACTAGAAAGGAAAGGAACTTGAGACATGAACCCAGTTCTGGTATGGTGATAGGATTAGTTTAGCAAAAATGACTTCATTTGAAACTACTACAAAAACCTATATGTAGAGTAGAATTTCCTATGGTTCCATGACTCAAAGCCTACCTTTTTCTATCTGAAGTCTTCCAGTAGATTGCATAAATCCAATGCCATTGTCTGCTACACACTGATAGAGTCCAGAATCTTCCATGCTGACTCTAGTGATTGTCAATCCATTTCCTGAACTCAGGTGCCGGGGGGAAGGGTGAACAGGCTGTGCGTTGTGAAACCAGGTGCGGTTGGGGGCTGGGTTCCCATGAACATCACAGGTGAAATGCACCGTGGCACCCATAGACACCTTCTGGTCCTGTAGTCCTTTAGAAATGGAAGCATTTTCTGAAAATAAAACACACACATTAAACTCGATCCCTAAAGACACTCTCTTAAAATTACACACAAAGCATATGAAATTTCTCTAGCAATAAATAAGTAGCTGAAGCCAAGTTGGATTCTTTATGTATAATCTTCTATCTGCTGACGCATCCAAGAAAAATATTAGAAATATATTTTAATTTTCACTAATAGAATAAACCATGCTATTAAAAGTTACAAAGACCTTTTTTTAGATTAATTCATTTATTTATTACTTAGCTGTCCCTGTACACATGAATACAACTACATATACACAGTTTCCAATTCTCTGCTTCTCTTAATATTTACTTCAAGTGATTAGTTTTATAATAAAGTCACATTAGAAAATGGAACTTTATTCTGACTACTGGTGTAGTCCTGCTCCTTGTTTCATTTTTAATTCACAAATACCCTTTAAATATCAGTTAGAACCTGAAAATGGCCAGATTTTTAAATATTTATATTGAATAAGGAACGTCTTACCGAGAACATTAACCATGTAAGTGACATGTTTTCTGTCTCCAGACTTGTTGCCTACCACACAGGAATAGTTCCCAGAGTCTGCTGGGTCGATGCTAGCTGTGGCAAGATGAGAATGTAACCTTCTCCAGTTACTTCCCAGCATAACATTCTCCCCATCCTTCAGCCAGGACACTTGCGAAGCCGGGACCCCGCTCACCACACACTCCAGGGTTACAGGGCTATGAGAAAGAACAGCTAATGTCTGCGGAAAGGCGGGGTGAAGAATCTGGAAACCGTCTGAGGAAGGGTCTGGAAAAGGAAAGAAACATCAGATATTATTAGTGAGGATTCACTTGCAGTCTCTTCCTTTCCAGATCCATAAGCATTCTCAAATAACGAAGTTCTATTTGGTAGCCAAACCACTTGTGCTAAGGCTCAAAATTTAAAGATTTTGTGGATCCTTTGGGTTCCTTCTGAATTAGTTCTTTGGATCTGTAGAGCTTCCCATAAGATTAGAAAGCACCCCATAATTGTGCTCTGACTACTAGTACCTTCAAATTAAACAGCCATGATCTAAAGACAGTCTTGCTTTTTAGTAATATCTAATTCACATCCAACCACCAATTTGATTAATATTCCATAACACAGAACATTATATTGTAATTACATATTATAATTATGTGTTATTACATTAGATTAGATGCATTTACTTTTTTGTAAGGTTTTCTGATGACAAAACAATGGGATCTGGAAAAGAAAAGTGAACTCCCTGTCCCACGCTCTTATGATTAATACACTGGAGGACTTTCCTCTGCTAATCACCACTGCTCTCCCAAATACTTACGACTCACAAGGAGCTTTTGGCCAATGGGTTCAACTTTTAATTCATGAGTGACAGGGTTATAAGCAGCACACTTGTAGGGTCCCTGGTCCTCTGAGGAGACATTCAAAATCTGAAGATTTCCTGATGGAAGGATGATGTAATTTCCTGGGGAAGGTACAGGCAGACAGTCAAGCCTCTCCTTTTCTGATGACCATAACACAACTAAAACTAGCATAAGCTCATGGTTATACTTCTGATTTGTGCATAAGACTAGCAGCAAATAAGCAATCAAGGAAACTTCACTAATTGGAGGGAAAGGAAAGTCAGGGCAGAGAAGAAAAATTAACAGTATAAGCATCACGACTGGAACAAAATCAAAGCCATCTAAAACATTTTAGCAGACAATGAGTGTGAAAGCACAAGAAAAATGTCTAAACCTCAGTTATCACTTGGACAAAATTCTACCTATAGAACTGGTCATCTGGCATTTGTTCATCGTTTATTCATTCATGGGTTTTTTTCCACAATAAATACACACTGCCAATCATGGTTTGGATATACACAGCAATGCAGAAAGAAGACAAAAGCTTATAGTCAACATTTATTCCAGTAGGGTCTTATGGGTGGCAAAGATAAAGTATGTGTGTATGCATGTGAGCTCCAGTGAGCTCATGGCCTGGTTACTGTCCCTTAGCTTTTTTGCTTAAGGCTGGCCACTCTGCCAGTTTGGGTTTCTTGGAGATAGCAGTTAATTTTTGGTTAATTCGAGACATGAGTCTTATGGACTTTCCTGCTCAGGCTGGCTTTGAACTGTGATCCTAATATCTCAGCCCCCTGAGCAGCTAGGATTACAGGCAAGCACCACTGGCATCTGGCTAAAAAAAGGTAAAGTACATATATCAGGTGTGATATATCTATGAAGAGAAACCAGGCTAAATAAAAAGACAGAAGTGACAAGATGTATTATTTCTACGGTGCCCTGTAACCAGTCTTCTCCGAGGAAGGGAGATGGTGAATGTGGGCCTAAATGATTGAGAGAGCAGGTCCTTGGGGTATTGGGAGTGTAAGCATCTAAATAACCACATGCTTTAGTTTCCTCCCTTGACTTGTGAGAGTACAGAAACTATATTTTATGTAGCTCTGTATGCGAGTCCCGTAGTATGCATAGAGCCTATTAGCAGGTTTTGCTGGTGAGCTATTGGCTTTTCACAAAAATACTTACCTGTGGAATGTTTCAGCCATTTTCCCCGGATCTTATAGCGTACCTCGGCTTTGGGGTTACTCTCTGGCACCTGGCAGCCAATGAAACCTGTGCTTCTTTCTTCTGCTCTAATAGCAGGCTTTGCTGATGAATCAAAATCACCAAGAACTGAAACAAATAAGTAAATAGGTAAATGCATGAGAATGAATGAATGCAAAACTGAATTCTCTTTCCCAAAGGCAATTTAAAGTTTAGAAACATCTGCAGCATAGCCCTTTAGGGGAGTTAATTAACCCCAGTCCTGTAGGGAGCATACTTTTGTTGTTTGTTTGTTTCCTTTGGTTTTTGGTTATTGACACAAAGCCTCTCTTTGTAGTCCAGGCTGGTCTTGACCTCATGACCCCACGGTCTCACTCCCCCCCACCATTACAAGTGCTGATATAACAGCTGTGAATTATTGCACCCCCTCAACGAGATCTTTTTATTGAGACAGCAGTTGGGGCAGAGGTGCATGCCTGAGAAATAACAGTGAAGTTATGGCACCCTATTTTTAGGAGTCACAGCTTTCAAGGGACTACTGAAAAAAAAAAGCTGCTCCTAAAACACTCAGGAGAACCATAAAGCATAATTATTCCCATTCTGTCAAGATAAATCCTCTTCCATGCAAGCCTTCAACAAAATGCACTTTTCCTCCTTTAAATACCCGTAAGACAATAAAATAACTTATGGAAATGAACCTAGGGCATAAGAAAACAAAGCAGAATATCATCTGAGTTATCTGCATCTACTAACTCAGTCTTGATTCCTTTCCCTTTAAAGTCACTGCAGATAGAGCATGGCTGGAAGGGCTCTTTCTCATCTCCAATGTCCTAGAAATTCAGCAGCCTGCCACTAGGAATGCAGCCCTCCAGTGTGTGTCTTGGAGCTGTGCATGGGTCACAGCTCTACAAAAACATTTACTCTTCTCAGTTATGACAAACTCACTACTCCTGGGGAATCCAGATTTGTTCTGTAAATAGGGGTGCCCCTACAAAGACGTTTTCCATTACTGGAAACCGTCACCATTTGAAAGGCAGATGGCTCAGACTTCCTAAGAAAAGCCACACATTCCAGATTTTCTGTAAGTTTAATACTCCGCATTCCTCTCTTTACAGTCAGTTATATTTTCTTTCCTGTTTCTTTAGCATGGTTTCAATTACATACATTAAAATCACTCAGTAATCAAGGCAAATAAAACAATTATATGTGAAAGAAAGATAAATGACTGCATGAAATAATCAAGTGTCCAAAAAAAGACAGCAGCCATTTTTGTTATTATTGATATGGAGAATTTTAAAGACTCACAAAGAAGTTGCCCATAATTCACATTAGAAAATTAAGAAACTATTTTGTGTAACTTGTTGTTTGGGATTTTTTTCCCTTTATTTTGGAGTTAATATACATTCCTAATAGGAGAGCTTTCATTGTTACACACACACACACACACACACACACACACACACACACACACAGAGTGTTATTTGAAAAATTCACCCCTTCTGCCACCTTCTGATTCTTCCCTACCCTCTTCCTCACTTTTCCCAACTAACTATTTTTGAAAATTTGTATTATTATAAAGGTGAGGCACAGAAGGTTTACAGCTTGTCTTGTATCACTTAAAAAATATTCTTATAGTTTTGTGATAGATGAAGACATTGGGCTAGAATACAGAGGTTTCAAAGAGGAAAGGATAGAATAGAACTCTTAAATTTCTCTTCACATCTCACACCCTATTTTCTCACACTACATTTTCCCCACCATTCAAACATGCAAGGACATAGTCATTCAAACACAGTCATTCAAAAAAAAAAAAATCCCACAGACAAGGACCAAACTAAACTCACCTGCAGTGGACACAGTTGCAGGGCTGCTCACAATTGCCCCGGCGCTAGTGTTGGCGATACACTGGTAGTAGCCCGAGAGGGAGGGGCTAAGAGAAAGAATGGTCAAAGTCCCCCGATGGATATTAATGTATTCCACGTTTCTATCCACTCTTCTCCCATTATGTAGCCATGAGATGTGAGCAGTCACGGGTTTAGCAGAACAGTGTAGTACGACAGGTCTGCCAAGCTTCTGGACAGCAGAGAGTGGCTCAGAAAGGAAATAAGGTGCCAGGTCTATAAAGAAATAATAATCCGAGACCAGAAGGGGAGGGAAGAAGAGAGAGAAAGAAAAGTACACTAAATATGTCTCATCTGAATCTTGATAACAAAGGCAAGCTCATAGAGGTAGATGTGGTAGTTCTTGATATTTACAAAAATTAATATAAAATTCTTTTTTTTTTTTTTGGCGATCGTGGGCGCTGAACTCTGGGCCTGGGCGCTGTTCTTCAGCTCTTCAACCCAAAGCTGGCACCCTACCACTTGAGCCTCAGTGCCACTCCCAGCTTTTTTCTGTGTATGTGGTGCTGAGGAATCAAACCCAGGGCCTCATGCATGCGAGCACCCTATCACTAAGCCAACTTCCCAGCCCTCATGCAAAGTTCTTATAAGCTGATCTTTTTGAAGAAAATGTTAGTCTAGGACTTATCAATAGTTAGATTAGACAAGAAATAATATCAGAAATAATACCAATTTAGTAATGAGGAATAGCAAACTGCTTTTTTGATGAAGTAGCTTATTGCAAAAATGAAAGTTAAGCTGGGTACTAGTGGCTCACACCTATAATCATATTGAGGAGCCTATGATCTGAGGATCAAGGTTTGAAGCCAGCCCAGGAAGACAAATCCAAGAGACTCTTATCTCCAATTAACCAGCAAAAAATCCGGAAGTGGCTGTGTCTCAAGTAATAACTCACCAGCCTTTTGTAAAAAAGCCTAGTGAGAGCACAAGGCCCTGGGTTCAAGCTCCAACACACACACACACACACACACACACACACACACACACACAAGCTAAAACCCTGAAAAAGGTAAAGCTGACTTTAAAAATAATAAGACTGAGGCTCTGGGTTCAATTCCTCAGCACCACATAAGCAAAAAGAAAAAAGCCGGAAGTGGCGCTGTGGCTCAAGTGGTAAAGTGCTAGTCTTGAGCTGAAGAGCTGAGGGACAGCGCCCAGGCCCAGAGTTCAGGCCCCACGACTGGAACCCCCCCCCCCCAAATAGTAATAATAATAGGACTTCTCTCTTCGTTTACCAGTAGGATTTGGTTCATCACTGATGTAAGTAAAGTATAAGACTTTTTCACTTCATTATTTTACCATAAAATAATTTCATGAACAATAAATTTTACTAAACTATCCATACACATTACATAGGGATGGAAAGGCCTGCTAAGGCTCAAAGCACTAAGAAAAGATCCTTAAGTTAATTAATTTAAAAAATCATGTAGCAAATCTTACAAACACCACAGAAACTGCTATTGTTAGCAAAATATTGAAGTCAAAATTTGTCTTATATAGGGTAAACATGAGGAGAGGCTTCATTCAATACCCCCACCATTCGGGTTCTCCTCTTACCTGAACAGACAGAAGAACACAGAATTGCAAGAGTAACATATAGCAGTATTGGTAAGGGTCCAAGGTCAGGATGCATAGCGCCCAATTCCAGAAGCAGGTGGGGCAGACGTCCAGAGGAAACCCAGGCCTTGGCTCACTAGAATACATTGTAGAAAGAGAAGAAAAAAAAAAGAGAGAAAGAAAATCTAAATCATATAAGTTATTGAAATCTTTACTCTGAACAACTACAGAGTTGTAAGCAAGATGGCTGTCCTCTATTTTGATGGCTCTGTATACAGTATGTCAAATCATAGGCATGTGATGATCTATGCTTTCCCAGTTTGCACATGGATCGATAGCCACTAAGTCAGAGTTAGCTTTCCTCCTGCTCCTAAGTACTAGAATACCTTTTACTTCAGAGAGAGAATCATTCCAAAAGAAAACACTCAAAGGCCTGTAGTGCATTTCTAGTTACATACCTCATCAGCATCTAAACTCAACAAAACTTCCTTCTCTATATCCCCTAAAGAGCAACAAGACCAACAAAATCACACCTAGCATTTACAAAGTACCAGAACCCAGTGCAGTGTTTCTCATACACCAAACTTCACAAGAACCTTTTATTCAGTTGGGAAACTCAGGCTCATGGGGGGAAGGGGGGAGGAATGTAGTTGAGGAAGTGGGAGGAACAGGATGGTAGGGGAAAAACAAAGGAGGAGGCAACAATACCTGATAAGAAATGTACTCATCACCTTGCTCATGTAACTGTAACCCCTCTGTACAGTATTTTCACAATAAAAAAATATTTAAAAAAAGAAAGAATATTAGGTGCAGACCTGTGTTGCGATTAAACTTGGCCCACAATGGTGAGAAGGAGTTGAGGCAGGAAGAGAGTGGAAAGAGATAAAGGCAGACAGGAAAGCGGGGTCAGATCAGCAGATGTGTAGCAAAATAATTTAGTCATACAGCAAGTATTTCCTGAATATTTGTTATTTTTATTGCATAGAATAATAAATAAATAATAAAAGCAGCACAGACAAAAGTATATGCCTTATATTCTAGTGGGAGAGATGGACACTAAACAAGATAAATAAATAGAATTAGTAAAATTACATCCATGTATCTTCAAATATGGCTAATTTTTTTCTTATCTGTGCTCTTGATGACATCCCATTCAATACTGTAAGTTCTTATGATGAGAAGAGAGGAAGCACCCCATAAAATTTTCTTCTTCTTTTTTTTTTGGGGGGGGTCTGTTCGTGGGGCCTGAACTCTGGGCCTGGGCGCTGTCCCTCAGCTCTTCAGCTCAAGGCTAGCGCTCTACCACTTGAGCCATAGCCCCACTTCCGGTTTTTTTCTTTTTGCTTATGTGGTGCTGAAGAATCGAACCCAGGGCCTCGTGCATGCAAGGCAAGCGCTCTACCACTAAGCCACCTTCCCAGCCCACACCCCATAAAAGTTTCTTAAAATGAAAGCAATACCTTAACACAGGTAATTCCCAATTGCACTTTGAAAAGTTGTATGCCATCCAACTCATCCAAACTTAGCATATTGTAGCTATCCTTTTTATTCCTGCATTTACTTATTCATATATATAATTTTAAAAGCCAACCAAAGTACATTAAGTACCTCCATACATCAAGCATCGTGCTAAATAAGTTTGGTTATTTTATCTGCATAGTCTACCATTGCTCAGCCAGGATGGCTATGGAACGTATCACTATGAAATATAACCAAATCTGATGAGCATACCACATAAATGACATTTTGAAAGGGAGAATTCTACATGCATAGTAATTTGTGCAAAGAAAGTTTAGACTGTGTAGTAATTCAAAGCAAGGCACCCTTGCAACACAGTATTTAGTAAGTCAAACCATTTTCTTTCTATTCCAGGTATTCCAATGTTTCGGAGTTGCAAGTTCAAGTTTATATAGGTCATTGATACTCAGCCTATGGACTTTCCATTTTTCCTTGCTCATCTACTTGAAAAAGTGGAGAGGAGAAAGGCCATAGTGTCATGACCCACTCATCAGCAGAAGGGTCCAGCTGAGTGAAAACTCTTCTAGTTTATTTGAATTCTCACTTGGTTCAAGGGTAAGAACCACTAGTAAGCAGTCAAGGCCAAGTAAACATTCACATAACTTGTTAACAGGAGACACTTTCTGGAGACAACAAGGACAAAGTGGATTATATCTTCTCTGTGCCAAATCTTTCTCCAGTTATTTGTTTGTTAAAAAAACAGTGAAACCATTTTCAGAGTAATCTTTAACCCTGCACATGGTCTGTTTTACAGCTGTCTTTTAAAGATGCACAGTTCATTACTGCTACCTAAAAGCTAGCACACAGGAATGCTCTTTATTATCAAATCTGCCTTTTGGGTTACTTTTTTTTTTTTTTTGCCTGTCATGGGGTTTGAACTCAGGGCCTGGGCATTCCCTCTGAGCTTCTTTGGCTCAAGGCTAGTGCTCTAACACTTGAGCCACAGCGCCACTTCATGCTTTTTTTCTGTTTATGTCGTACTGAGGAATCGAACCCAGGGCTTCATGCATGCTAGGCAAGCACTCTACCACTGAGCCACATTCCCAGCCCGCTTTTGGCTTACTCTTAAACAATCTCCATTGATCTGAGAAACTAGAAAATACCTATAAACATTTGAGACATTTTACTGAGTACTTGTTGAGTTGGCTTATATTTTTCCATGGTACACTTGCTCAGTTTCTTAAAAAAATTATGACAAAAAGAACACAGAGTTATATTCTATTATTTACAGCCACCCACAGAACAATGATTGTCACTGACCACACAGAAAGTAAGGTATGTACAAACCAGAGTAGAGCTACTCCAAAATAATTCAATATCATGTCATTTTCAAAAGTATTACATCTTTCAAACATCAAAAACTTTGATGTTAATATTATTGCTTTAATAGTAAGTTATCAGAAAAAAAACCACATATACCTCAGCATGCTCACATGCGCACACACACACATACACACACACACACATACATTCTACTTCATTGCTCAGGCAAATGCATAGTTTGGCCAAGTTTATCATAACTACACAAGGCTCCTGTCATCCTTAAGACATGTACGTGGTCATGTATGTCATCTTGGTCACCTGCAGAAATTTACCTTGAGGAAACCACACCCCTCACTGCCTCACATACTTGTTAGCCTCCTCCTCTCACCTCCTCTGATTTGTGTGTCACATTCTGCAGAGTTCAGTTTATCTGTCCATATCACATCATATGCTTCACTAATGAGCTTGAACCCGCTCTTCTGATCTGGAAAATGTCCTTAGTAAGAGCACACCAGCCCACTCCACCACAAGTCACTCCAGCACATCGCTTGCCAGAATTCATCTGACCTCTGCTCTAGCATGCAAAGCATCTGAATACTTCATCATAAAAATTAAAAACAGAATCTTGACTTATATCAGATGGAACAGAATTCTGATTGGAATCACATAGCCATTTTTTTAGACTGTTGTGTTTATCTTATTCAGAACTTTTTCAAAAACATCCCCTGTAACATAATGGTGATTATTATATTAAGCAAACTATTTTTCCCAACTGTTTGACAATGATTATGTTACTTGTATAAATAGGAAACTTAACAGAAAGCAACTATTCATTGATTATTTAAAATTTTCACGTATTTATTGTGGAACATGTGGGAAAATACACTAATGCATAAAGTGGAAGTGAACAGAACAATCCCACCACCTGCAAGCAACAGATCACTATTTTGATGCACCTCCTTCTAATCTATTTCACATATGTCTATGTTTACATAACTCCTAGTACAGGTGACTTTTCAGTCTTTTTATATCGTACAATCTAGTGATAATTTTTCCTTTTTAAAATCCTCCATGGACATTATTTGTAACAGCTACATATTAAATGGATGTATTTTAGTCTACCTAACCATTCCCTTTCAGGTAGTTAAGCTACTTTTTAACATGTCTTTATAGACAGACAGGTAGATAGACAGACAAACAGACAGATAGATATAGTTGTTTGTTCTTTTTTTCTATTACAAATAATGCTGCCATGAATACTACTATCCATACATCTTTCTTTAGAGGGCTGGTATTGGGGCTTGAACCCAGGGCTTATGTAAGGCTTGGCTTTCTCCCTCAAGGCTGACACTCTACCATTTATATCTTATCTATGTTTCTGACTTTTTGTTGGTTAAATGATGTCTTTCAGATTTGTCTTCCTGTGATTCTCAGATCTCAGCCTCTTGAGTAGCTAGGATTATGCGTGTGGGCCACCAGAACCCAACAAAGTATCTTTAAGACTCTTAATACAAATTGTCAAGGCCACCGTCCACAACCCAGCCATCAACAATCACTATCAGTACATGAGGGTAAGTCTCTTGATCAGTACATGGCATAGATCTTTACACTGTGTGAGCAAAGTGTTGACACAAAATATGACAGAATTGATTCACATGCTTAATTAACTCAAATGCTTGACAAGGCCTGATACAACTGTCACTGTCTAAAGGTATTAGAGATTTTTCTCAACAATATCCTAAACATACAAAAAAAAGCTGCAAAAAGGCAGGAAAGAAGAAAGGAAGGGAGGGAAGAAAGGAATAGGCAATGTTCCTACATTTATCAAACCTTGTCAATCTCTGCCTTCCAATGACAAAAAACAAAAACAAAAAAAACCACAAACACCATGAACATAAAACTCTGCTTTTTACCAAAACTCATAGGATAAGGAGTTGTTGTTATGCTGTGTGGTTTTAATTTATAACATGAACTTTTCAAAAAATAAATTTGTATACAAAAATCTGCTGACACTGCATGGGAAAATGCACTGGCATCCAGACAATAAATTCTCACTCATTTCAAGCGTGTATTCTCCCTTCATTACTACTTCTCTTGTACATGCAGTTTACATACACATATGCAAAGCAGGTGTGTACAGACATATCTATACATACACATATACCTCTATTCCCCTAACTTCTAAGTAACTTTTTTTTGGGGTCCAGTCGTGGGGCCTGAACTCTGGGCCTGGGCACTGTCCCTCAGCTCTTCAGCTCAGGGCTAGCACTCTACCACTTGAGCCACAGCGCCACATCTGGCTTTTTTCTTCTTGCTTATGTGGTGCTAAGGAATCCAACCCAGGGCCTCAGGCAT